AGAGCTCTCAAATTAAAAGCAGAGGACTAAATGTCTTAACTTGTGCGAGCTGGGAGACAACAGGGGACAAGCCAACACACGGCGCCTTTGTATTCTCAAAGTCAACCATGTCCTGCAGGAAAATAGAAAAAAATAACCAAAAAGAATGACACATCCGACGTTTTGTCCTCACTGTACTGCAGCAGAAATATGACTGGAAACAGTTACAGACTGAAGATACACATGGGAGCTGTTCTTTGCGTTAAACCGGTGCATAGTCTAGAAACAATAATGGCTTGCATTGTAATTTATAGTTCTATACAAAATACGTCATGCAAAAGCTGGAGATGCCACTATTTTACTGATATTAATTCCAGTGTCTCCGTAGAACTGAGTTGATCACCTTTTTTATAAGGGACGTAAAAGCCACTATTGGACAACTACAGCGAGGGACATGATGTCATAAATTGATTTAATGTCTCAGGTTGTTTTGCGGGGGGGGTGAGCTCCGCGTAGATGGATCCCAGTTGGAGTTGGACTGTCAACCACTCAACAAGGTTGCAGATCTAATCTATTTTGCATGGACGCCATATTTAATGCATACAGCAGTGGTCATAAAAAAACATTCATTTCAGGGCTGCCTGGCTTTGTCAGTGAGTAGTGCGTTAACTTTAAAAAGAGCCGTCGCGTATACAAATGTGTACGGTCAGAGGTAGAAGTCTGAGGACGGCAGCAGAGGGAGGAGGTCTGTTGCTGTCGGTGAGTCAGCGTTTAACACCTTGCATGAATAAAATGTGCTACGCGAGGTCCGTTGGGAGAAGCGCCGGGATTAGTGAACCAAACATTTGTCCTTTCTGCTGCTCGTGGAAAACACTTCAACACCTTCGCCACCGACTTCCAAGAGCAACGCGTGCGCCGTCTGCGTGGAGTGTCAAATTACAATAAAGCTTGACAACAAACGAGACACCAGAGACGGATGTGGACGACTTCTGGCACTTGTAAAAGAGCACGATTTGACTTTAACTTTGACTACTTATCAAAGAGCTCTCCCGAGAACCGCCAGATGAACGGAACATGCCAGCAGTCATCATCTGGAGCCAGTCTGTGTAAATGAATCGAATGGGTTCCAGCATGGATCATCCTCTGTCTTCTTCTTCTCTTGATAATAAAGATGGTTGATACACTGACAGTAGTTTTTAAACAGAGGGCTTGGACACGCATACTTTCTTTTGAGGAAAAGACCAACAAACACGAAAAAGAAGGTACATTTAACCACCACTGTTGGGAGTGACTAATAACTGAGCACTGCAGTAAGGATTGTGTAGCTAAAGATTACACCAGTTCATCTAGGAATAGAACTTAACTCAAAGTAAACCACTCAACTTACTAATGTACCTCACAGCCTTACGGCAAGTATGAATATTTAATCTTCCAGTTGCATATTTCAATATTTGATTAGCCTGTTGCAGGTGGGTGAGACGTGAAACCCAGATATTTTAATCACAGACGTGAGATTCCCCATGTGGCGTTTACTCATATCGTTCCATATTGTTGTGTCAGCCTGTAGGCCGACCGTACGAACATTTCCTTGGCCTAAATATTGGGAATTAATTGAGCTGTTATTTTCCATAACAGGCTATTTATTGGCAGCCCATTTTGTAGTTTGTAACACATGAATATTCATGTTGTGGGAAGGAAACGCATTCAGGTGATTGTACAAGCACCAACAGGAAATGGCAGCAACACAAACAGAATGTCGTTCCTCCTGAAGCCTGTGCATGGACACACACACAGACACACACACGCATACACACTGCTGCGCCACTCTACCTTGTTGTATCATGACCTCACATGGTTTTGTGACGGATCTTCTCACCGTGAGCCCCAACATGGGCGATGGACTGGAACGTCTGTGACTCGGTAAAACACACGACGCAGCGGTGGGGTGAAATCGCTGACACGTCCCATACAGAAGAGAGCAAACACACGCATACAAACACACGCATACAAACACACGCGTGCACGACTGTCTGAGTGGCCAAATAGCTCGAAGCAAATTATTTAAGGTAAGATTTTTAGGGACTTTGATCGCCCAATGTATACAGACACACACACTTTCATACTAACCTCAATCTACCTTGATCTTTGTGGACGTCATCATGGGTACTCCCTCCATTCCTGTCACAAACAACACACACACACACACAGCTTTACCTCTGCTCTCATTCTCGAGCAATGGACTGGAACTAACATCCACATTCCTGCGGCTGCCAAACACACACACACACACACACACACACACACACACACACTCACGCACACTCACACACGCACACTCACACACACACACACACACACACACACACACACACACACACACTCACACAAACACGCACGCACACAGACGCGCGTGCTGCTCTTTGTTGATGCCCAAAAATTAAACAACCGTACACACGCATGCACACTGTGATCTCTGACTCACACACTCTCTCCCTATAGAAATGAATCACTTTGAGTCCATTGAGCCAGACACACACACACACACACAAACTACCTCAACGTTCGCATCATTCACACCAACGCTTGCTGAAGTCAGGAGGCATCCGTCTCCGTCGCTGACTTCATAGGTCAACCGCGCGGCGGTCGGCCAGCATCTCCGCGGCCCTTGTGGAGGTTGTGTGATGACACGAGTCCAGCCAACATGACAAGAAGCCGCATTTCAACACTCCGTTTGGGAATTTGACATGGAATTTTTACGGGTAGTTGGGTGGGTTTAGGTCGTTTTGGTCAGATAAAGGTCAGAAGGCTTTCCTACGGAGAGTAGTTTGGTCATGACGTCTCGGACTGAAACACCATCATCCCCTCGACGGAACATTGGACTCTTCAATATAAAAAGGTTGACAGAAAGGGGATCTGATCCAGATGTGGCACAATCACATTTAAATCAGTAGGTAGGATGTTCTGTCTCTTCTTACAGCAAAGTGCTGCAGAGGTTTTAAGCTGGAAAACATGTTTTTACCAGACCATAAATTAGGACATGCCTTTGACGAAGTTCTCCTGAACATTTCATACCCTTTTGCAAGTGTGTGACCATCTACATATTTGCATCTAAAACGGCAAAAATAAAAAGTTGGCATGAATATTTCAATTGGGTTAAACATCACGCATCCATAAATGAAGATTCACTGCCCTCATAAAATATTCAAGCATGTATGCAACATGTGGGCTTTTAATCATAGATGTGCTTTTTCACATACTATTGTTACAGCACGCTCTGCTGCTTCTGTACAGTTGGGTATGACTCTTTCCTGCCGAGGACAGTGACACACACACACACACACAGTTTTGACAGCACAACCAAGAGACAAGTACAAAGTCACAACCTTTATTCTACTCCTAACGTAACGTGGACCCTCACAGTTACAGACACAGCAGCAAAATGAGGCGTCTTATTCATCTCTTTTGCTCTTTTCTCTTCTCTCGTCAGCTTTTATCTCATCCAGCCTTTCCCTCAAATGCTCTTTGCTCCTCGGCGTCTCTGTTATCGTCGTTGGTCACATTGTAGTGGAAGAAATTTCCACTGATCCAAAACCCCACCACTGGCTGAACTCATCGGCTCATCCAGCGTGCGTGCGTGTAGCAATGTTTTGAGGGAGTGTGTCGTGAAACTAGAATGCAAAGTGAGAGTGTGGGGAGAGCTGTGTGTGTGTGTGCGTGTGTGACCTCCTTCCCTGGCTGGAGTGAGTGTGAGTATTTGGAGCGGGCGGTCTTTGCAAAGCACTCAGCCGTCCATCGATCCACGGGCATTGATCTGCACAATCCAGCGACTCACAGCTTCTCTGCACGCTCCCCACATACGTGCCAACGGGGCTGATGCGTGTAAACAAGCAAGCACGCAGACGACGGCAGCGACGCCTTTGACGATAAATAACTGATGTAATGTCATTTCAGTCCACAAATTAGATTAGAAATTAATATCAACAGAGAACTTTCAGAAAATGTTCAAAATAAAATAGCGGAGCCTCCAAAATTGCAAAAAAATTAAAAAATGTGTTTATCTGCAAAAGGAACTGGGGCTTGTTTGTTTTTTTGTCTTCAAATGAAGCATACACCAACAAAAAGTAAGAACTTTTACATTCCTAAAGCCCTGAAACCATGACTACGGTAATAATTGTATTTTTTCATCTTCGTGTGGTGTATTAAGTGGGAAAAACTGCAGCTCGAGGATTTGAAACGCGTTATCCGTTAGTGTAATTAAAGCATTTTAAGCTTTCCTCACGCAGACTGTCCTGGGGTCACTCCTCTTGCTTGTATGGGTAAATTGGTCATATTCTAAACTGAAAATTAAAGTCTTTGAAGCCCTTGTACTTAACTTACCATACCACCATCTGCTGGAGCTTTACATAAGTGTTTCAAAGCCCTTTTTGTTGATAAAGAGCATTAAAAATTCTCGGACCTCCTCAATTACAACCAGGACAAAGAGAAAGTGCACCACTTGTAGGACTGTTTCATCACTGCAGGTGTTTTCTATCCTGGAACATTTTTCTGAAAGGACAATTTAATTATCCAGGCAGACAAGAAATGACATCCTGGAAATAAAAGCATGTACTCTTATTTAGCTTTCTTGCTCTCACAGGCAAACACACTTTTGATGCAACCAAAAACACACTTTTTTATTGATGCAAATCAATAAAGTGTAGTCAGATTTCACTGCTGCAAAGGCTTGTTATAGATCTTTGTGAAATGCACAAGGCGTCCCTTAAAGTAACATTTGGATCTCAGGATTAGAAAAGGCAATTACAATTTGGTCTCACAAAGAATCAAGACTTGTAGTTGCAGATTGTGAGTTTGCTCCTTTTTGGCTTTGACATTTTACACTGAACAATATTCTAACGTAGGGCTTCAAGCATTGAACAAATGCATCAGCATTCAAATGAAATACATTTTTGATTCTCAAATGGTAAATGTGATACACTTGAAACCTGACTAAAGTCAACACAACACACGAGAGCACGAGTAAATACAGATCATTGAGGTTTTTAATAATCATCAACACATTTATGTACAAAGCAGGCAATGTCATATTCAAATGATCCAAAATGCATTTCTATTTTTTTTTTCTTTCTTTTCCGGTCATTAAAATAGCTACAGATAACCCCATGGAATCAATTCAACAGTTCAACTACACTTTTGGTACAGTCAGTATAGTTACAGTTAAACAGCCCTGGGTGCGGGACGTCGACAAACAGATCCAGAATAATGTTCCCTCCAATGAAAATAAACGCATTATGAGTGAGCGATTCCATAAAAACCTCACCCCTGCCAGTCAGCCCAAAAGCTCCAAGTACACTTTTGTTCTTCAGTTACCCAATGAGAACAAAGCATCGAATGAATCGTAGACCCCGTTTAACCAGATGCAGCTCAGACAGAAGACCTGCAAGAGGCCGGAGAAACATTTACAAGTGAAGCCGATATTAAACGCAGAATTGGAATAAATGAAATGGGATTTTTTTTTGCTTTTACAAGCTCTTAATTCTTTCCAATTAGACATGTGATGTGGTTTTAGTTCTTTATTCAAGAAAAGCATCTTGAGACCAGGAACCTGATTGTCCAATACACAGAACAGTACAGAGCGAACTTTGTTCATTCAACTCTAACCAGTAGTCATTTGTCACCTCCAGCACAGCATTATGAATTATGCTCCTGTGTGTGTCTCTATAAAAGTCAATAGAAATTGTGTTTTAATAGTGTAAAACAATAAAAAGGCAAAAGCATATCCAAAGCGGATTTTGAAAACAAAAAAACAAAACCTCATGTATGAATGTCACAGAAAATTTGAAGTGATCTTTTAAATGAATAATAATTAACATTTACATTCTACAGTGGGAAGGAAGATACATTTTCGCCCATCCGTTTTATCAAATTCAGATAAAGCTTGGTGGCTCAAGGTTCTATCAGATCTTAGTTGTGATCTGGATCTGGAATTATGGGTATTATGGTAGATTCTGTTCTGTTGGCAAGGTCCCACCATCTCCAAAATCCGAATGAACCAAGATTGCTCAAAACTCGAAACTCAAACCTGCATGAAATCGGATAGAAGCCTCCCATTCAAATGTCTTTCTTCTAGTTTTAAAATACTATCGTGGCAATTCCAAACTGATATCAATGGCATGGAGCTTGTGCATCCTTTCGTGTGTTATAGTTGCCTAAACACACACACAACACTGCATGTTAGGTTGGTGTCAAAAGAGTAACAGATGAAATGCCCATTTACATCTACAGCAAAAAGGTTTACAAGTTGGTAAAAAAAAATCCCATCAAAGCCCAAATGAAAGACTAGGATAGAGTCCAAACATTAGGTTGGGGTCACTTAAAACAGAGTGAACAAAAATCACACCCAGGGAAGTGCTAACTGAATTAGCTACGTTTTGTCGTAGCCAAAATACCATTCCTTCAACATAAACCCAATCTGGCATCCTGCTCCAGGATTCATGCGCGGTCACTCCTGCCCTGCACACCCAGGCTTTGGAAAACAAAATCACATGTGAGCATCTAACAAACCGTTGTCTGCATTATTTATTTAAAAAGACGGGGACTAGAGATAATCAAGGGAAATACAGAAGAACAAGGAAGAAGTCTCCACTTAACAGTTCTTTTAGAAAGCATAAAAGCAAAACTAATTTTGAGAAACTAAGGTTTTACAAAAAAACACTTGCGCCACTAGTTAGTTTGGTTTGTTTCCTCTTTATGTCAGTAACCGCTTAAAATGTGCAGCAACATTGAGGTGGTGAAAGTCACTATATACACACACACGCACACACGCCAACAATCATACAACTGTGCACACGTTAGTGTGCCCAGTTCACTGCGTGGCATCACAGTCTCTCTCGCTCAGAAACAAAAGTGGGGAGCTAGGAGGGGCAGCGGCTGGTGCCTGAATGCCTGCTTGTGAAAACTTGGATGCTCTTCTTCATGGAGTTTATTTGGGTTCAGTCAGCTCATCTGGCTGCCAAAAGGGAACTGTGTGAAGGCAGGTCCTCCGTTTGTTACGCTCACCCATCAGTCCTTTTGAGGGTGGTGGCTGTGTACAGACAAGAGAGAGGGGGGGTTTGGTCACCATTTAACATCCAGAGACAATGTTAGGTCTGATTTGAACTACGATGTGTCCACTTAATATGCAGAGTACAATCCCGGCGAGGGAAAGGGTGATGGCACGTCCCTCGTTAACGCATGCCGGGGAAACTTCAGTGAACAGTTTGAAAAGCAGAAGTGCGGTTTAGTGAGTTTGGCTCATCGCGAATCATCTGTGAAGTAGACCCGTCTGTCGCAAGTGCAATGCGGGACGCTACAGTGCGGCATTAAATATGCAGCGCTGTACTAAATATAAGTAAACGGAAATTCAAACAACGAAGGCTGTACGGATGAATGACCACATAAATGGATTCCCGGCAGTATCGCTTTAGTCAAAAAGGGAACCACTATGAAGGAAAAGGACAGACTATTAAATAAGAGTTTATGATCTTTCTAACGGGGCGCAGGGAGCCGTTTTGCTGGCTCTGTCGCACTCGGAAATCTGTTGAAGAGTGCGTCCTAAATAAAAATTTATTAATACGGAAGGATGAATAATAACTGGACACGGTCAACATGGTTGATTTTAAAAATGCATTATAAAGATGTATTGTGTTTGAAAATGAGGTTCTTTCATTTGGGATAATGAAACTGTGTGCAACATACAAATTAAAAAACAAGGACAAACATTTTAAGAAAAAAATATTAGAAATGATACCTTGAGAACGTGGCAATATTAGCTTTCATCATCTGAGACATGTGGTTTAGCGATGGCCATCTCCTCCTTGCTATTTGCGATCATCTTACACTTCTACAAAAAGGAGAAAAATAAAATCCACATCAGTTCCTGTGAATTGGTACAGTCTTGCACACAATACCCTGAACAGTACAAGTTCGTTGCGCACTCCTCCACACGCTTTCGTTCAAATCAAACATAGTTATTGTCAGAGCATAATCCCTCTCAAACAAGGAGGCACATTGAGAAAGTTCCCCCCTTACCTCAGTAAGCTCTTTAATGGTGTGTATGTTGGCTTGCTGAGTGACCTTCCTCTTGGCTTCCTCGATGTGGTCCAGGTTGAGGGTCGGCGTCGGGGGAGCGAGACTCGGCGGGGGCTTGTTAGTGATTGTAGGAAGCGGGGCCAGGGGCGGCATGGACGCCAGGGCGCCCATGTTGGTCAAGGCAGCAGTCATAGTGGCTGCAGTCATGCTCGCCATAGCGGCACTCATGGTGATGTTTGACATGCCGGACATTCCTGGAATATTGGACATCCCCATCTGACCCATATTGGACATCCCCATGCCCATTGGGAGAGGTAGCGGCAGCGGTAAGGAGAGAGGCGTGGGAGACGGGGTGGGTAGAGGGAGCTGGAGGATGGCTTTCGGACGAAGACTCTCAGGAATAGGCACCCCGGCCTTAGCACACATTGCAGCAGCATTAGCTTTGGCTATCTCCAGCAACTGGTCTTTATCTGAAGAAAGAGAGGGAGGGTAAAGCGCCGGGATTAAGCATAAAAGTAGTGAAGACAAAGGCATGCATCTGGGAAAAGACTATTCATACAAATATTCATCTTGATGTGAATGTCCATGAATGGATTACGGTACCGAGCTCGGTGAGGCGCGGAGGAGTCTTGCTGGTACTGCGTCGCGGCCGGGACCCCGAGCGGCGCTGTTTGCGGAGGATGAGAACTGGAGAGTGGCTGGGCTCCCTTTTCCACCTGTCTCGCCTGTCGAATGAACGACTGCGAAACACCGGGCGCCTTCCCCGACCCCTTGATCGAGACCTGCGTCTGCGATCGGTAGAACGAGACCTCGACCGCCTGCTTCTGTCCACGGATCTCTTTCTGCGGCCAGTGGAGCGGCTCTTGGACCGCTTGCTCCTTTCCGTGGACTTGGACCGCCGCCTCCCGCGGGGATTGGGGGAGCGGGATCGTCTCTTTCGGGCCGGAGAGCGGGACTTGGATCGGCGGATTCTGGTCCTCGACTTGGAGTGAGACCTCTTACGCCTCGCGGGAGAGCGCGTCCTCCTCCGGCGGGCGGGACTTCGAGATTTAGATCGGCGTTTCTTCCTTTCCGCTGGAGAGACGGAGTCCCTTTTCCTCACAGGAGACTTAGACCTGAGAACGTGATGGATAAGACCGATGAAAAGGGCTCCGTGGATCTACTTTTAGGACACACAGAAACAGCTTTTTGCACACACACACTCATTCTACAAACCTCGACGGCTTCCTTCGGGATGAAGACTTGGCCGTTGATCGTGGCGCTGGAGAAGTCGATCGTGGCGCCGGAGACGTCGATCGTGGCGCCGGAGACGTCGATCGTGGCGCCGGAGACGTCGATCGTGGAGCCGGAGACGTCGATCGTGGAGCCGGAGACGTCGATCGTGGAGCCGGAGACGTCGATCGTGGAGCCGGAGACGTCGATCGTGGAGCCGGAGACGTCGATCGTGGAGCCGGAGACGTCGATCGTGGAGCTGGAGACGTTGAGCGGGACGGTTTCCTTTGATCCGTGGGCGAGCGGGACTTGGAACGCTGCTTAACTGGAGAGGAAGAAGCCTCTTCTTCATCCGATCCTTCCGAGGGACCCGGCGCAGCGACTGGTTCTCTGGACGCAGACCGGGACCTGGGAGCAACTTCATTGGCTGAGCTGAGACACTCCTTCGGTTCCTCGTCGTGGGTGGGAGAAGGCACCTGAGGTGGTTCTGGCAATGTTTCCGTGGGTTCCTCAGCTTGGGGGATGGCAATAACTGCTGCGGGCACGGGTTTCCAAGCACCTGCATGGAGCGTTGGGACATGTCATGTTATTTCACTGCAGCGGTAACAAGAGATTTTAGCTTTTATTTTTACTGGTTGACACTATATTGTGTTCATACAGGTTTTCCAAATACAAATGCACTGTTAAAAGGCATTAGGATCAGACGGTAACTTCTGATGAGTATTACACTCGTGTGAGGGTTACTCATCAAATTAATTTATAGTAAACAATTGTGGAGAAGAGGAAGTTGAGCTACACCTTTGTCTTAATAATAGAAGGCTGATACTCATGTTAACTAAGTTTTTTTGAAAATGTACTTTTACACTTAGATATAAAATAAAACTGACCTGCTGGAGCCACAACTACTGCACTTTCCACAGCGGTCTCTGCCTCGGGGGAGGAAGGTTTTATCTCTTTAACAGGAAAGGCCGACGTGGATCGGGCCGGGGAGGAGTTGTCCGACCGCGCATCACTCGACTCCGACCTGGACCTGTTCAAGCCCACCGAAACGGATTTAGACTTTGATCTTCTTTCACTCGGAGGAGATTCAGATTTCTTCTTCACGGGCAGCGGCGAGTTGGACTTTGACAGATTCCTTCGCGACAGCGAGCGAGACTTGGAGCGCTTGCCAGACCTCGGAGGGGAGCGATTCCTCCGGGCGGGGGAGCGGGAGCGCCGTCGGGAGGGAGGGGTTCTGGATTTGGTCCGCTTGCGGGGACTCTTGGATCTGGAGTGCCGGTTGCGCTTAAGGACAACAACCGAACGGGATCGAGTACGTCGGCTCCTGCGGGTCGAGCGGGAGCGCGAGCGGCGGGACCTGGGCGGCGGGGACCTCCTGCGTCGAGACGTGGATCGACTCCTGGAGCGCCTCCCCCCCGTGCGTCTGGCCGGTGACCTGGAGCGACGGACGGGACGTCTTGATCTAGAAGTGGAGCGCCGCTTCCTAGCAACAGAGCGCGACCTGGAGCGCCGGCCGACAGCCCCACTTCGCCTGGGCGAGCGGGGCCTGGAGTGCCGCCGACTCCTGCGCGGGGAGCGAGACAGAGAGGGAGACCGGCGCCCACCCCGTCTGGGGGATCGCGACAACTTTCTTTTCGGAGAGCGGGAGCTTCTGCGTCGCTTGGGAGACACGGACAGTGAACTCCTCCGGCGTTTAGGGGACTTGGACTTCCTTGGAGACCTTGACCCCTTCTTCCTGGGTGTGAGGGAGCGAGAGGTGGAGCGGGAGTGGCAGATATCTCTCTTGAAAGGCTTTGGGGAGCGGGAGAGTGACTTCCTCTTAGATTTAGGGGACCGAGAGGGGGACAGCTGCCGGCTTTTTAGAGGAGTTGGGGACCGTTTTTCTTTAGAGGTCGACCTGGAGCGGGTTCTTGACCGCCGTTCTTTCGTTGCTGCTGCTGCCGCCGCTTGCCCCGGCAGCTCCCTAGTGGCACCAGGCGTGGGCGAACGACTGGCACTTGAACCAGACCGCTTAACTTCACGGCCCCTGGAAGGGGAAGGAGACTTGCATGTGGAAGAATCCCGCTCAGTCAGCGGAGACTTCTGAACCGAATTGGACTGATCTTTCGGGCCTGGCTCGTCTCTTGTGGTAGTACCTTCTTGTTTAGGGATGATGTCAGGAAGCTCCTGGGCGTGGCTGAATGTACCCTCGTGAGTGCCCTCGGTTTTAACCGTTGCCATTCCCGTTACTGCATCCTGGCTTGCAGGGGGCGATCGCATATCTTTTTCAGATTGATTGGTATTGCTTCCCTTCTCTCCAGGCGGAGACGCATCCATATCTGAGATCTCCTTTTTCTTCACTCCAAGCAATTCAGATTTTTCTCCTCGTTTGCTTTTTGAAACAAGTTTTGACACCGGTTCCTGCAGTTCAGATGCTGCAGCTAAAGAGTATTTTCCATCACCGGCCGCTTTCCCCCCTTCACCTTCAGATTCTGAGCCTGAAGCAGAGCTGCTTTCAGATGGGGAGCGAGATGGGGATTTCTTTTCCTGCTTTTCATCTTTCTTCTTCTTCTTTTTCTTCTTCTTGGCAGCGTGTCTTCTGTGTTTTTTGGATTTTGCGTCTCCCTCTGTATCGGTACGATCTGATAGAAGTGACAAGTTAAAAAAAGAAATATATAAAATAACGCATCCACTACTTTTAAAGAAAGTGGCTTGTGTAAGAGTCTTCTACCTGAAATGACATCCCTTTTCCCATCCTCCTTCAGCCCAGCTTGGTCTACGGATCCTGCAGCTGCTGCTAGTCTGGCACTAAAAAAAAAAGACCAAGAAAAGGGAACATTGCATTTCATAATCTCCTTTGGACATTAAAACAAATTAATTTAGCAGGACTGACTCAGACATATCTACTTAGATAATACTGAATATTTGGACAGATACCCTATTTTGCCGCCACACAAGACACCTGGATCAGTGAAGATATAAAAGCTCACACTTGCCATCACAGCAAGACAAAAATAAGGCATGGAGGATCAACCTTTTAACACGCGTAAAAACCAATACACCCTTCTGATAATGTTATCATTCCCATCAGAAAAACCCAAGTGGCAGCACAGGGTCACTCCCTAGATCAGCTGCTTAAAACAAAACCAATATGAGGTTGCAGCGACTTGCATATTGGTATATATCTACTCTATAAAACTGACAATTATAACACTTTGATGATGTATTTGTCATCTTGTAAAAATTTAATTTTTTGCAAGTAACTAGAATAAGTGAAGTTTCTTGACCGAGATGTTTTGCAGCGATATAGGAGACCAGTTTAACTGTAGCTTCAATCAGCTGACTAAACAGTCATTTATGTCATAATTTGCACTGTGTGTTCTTACTGTATGCAAATACACACTGTAAATGACAATGATAAAAATGAACAGGTAACTTGTAGGATTCCTGACGTTTCACACGGAGTTATGGCCCTTAATTCTTTTCTGAGGAGGTTCGTGGCCAATGTTGAAAAAAAGATAAGCACAGAACCCTGTTGTCAATGATTGTTCTTAGAAAAAAAACATTTAGTTACAATTGGAATTGGTAAGTCGGGCTATTTTGAAGTAATCGGAATCTGCCAAGAGGATGGCAATGATTGCATCTCTAACCAGAATACATTTTGTAATGGTAACACATGTTCCTTAAACGGTGGCTGTGTCGTGGATATGAAATTGAAAAGGCTAAGATATAAAATACAGACATATTGGTAGCAAACTAAAACAAGATGTGCAAACTATAACATTTATTGAAACAAAGAAATTCTGACCTGGCTCTGGTGGTCCTGGCGGGATTTGAAGCAGGTTGTTGATCTACGTCGGACTCTGCGCCAGATTCGGAGCTGCTCTCTTTTTCCCCTTTCCTCCTCTTCTTCTTCTTTTTACTCTTGTGCTTTCTGTGCTTCTTGTTTTTTTTGGGGGGTGGCTCAATCTCTTCCTTTGCTTTCATGTCCGCTTTCTCAGGTGCCTCATCTTCACCTGCACAGGACAGACAGTATTTCAGATTTCATTTGATAAATCGATGACATGTAGACAACCTAGTAGCAGGTAATTTTATTAGTGCCGCACTTTAAATGAGTGACCTTAATGCAGAATTAAAAGAAACTAAATCCAAATAGTCAACGTATTTGTGTTATAGTCACTCACCTGAGGGGATGTGCACTGCACATTCCATTGTGCTGGTGCCACTGGTTTTGTAAAATGTCCCCTTTAATGTCACAGATCTGCTGCTTCCTCTTTCAACACTGGCAGGGGAAACAAAGTTATTGCAGTACAAGTTCATGGCAATGCTACAGTGAATACCAACAAGTTATTTGCATGGACCATGTCCAATTTGGTTGCTAAAACTACCAGTCTCCAAAATTGACACTGACTTGATACGGATCTTCAGCAACGTGTGAACAAAAAGGGGACAGTTATTATTTATGAATAAAATAAAAGGTAATGCCTAAATGCTTTTAAACTTAGTTTAACCTAAAGTTGGTCTCAGCACAAATGCCGGAAGCTGAGGATCACAGTGGATGATTACCCTTTGCTTTTGATTTTCCAATATGTACCGTTTCCAGTAAGGTTACGTTTAGAAAAATTCCACGGATCTGCCAAAAAGATGAACTACCTTCAGGAAAGGAACAGTCAGCAAGCAACTGAAGGCAAAAGACCTGCTTTAACATCAGTGTTGGAAACTGGGCCAGAGGTGTAGAGACACGATGGAGTAAAGCGCATCACCATCTACGACCATAAACCAGACGCAACAAAAGGACGCTGTACGGCTTACTTTCAGTCCGTAAATACTTCCCGACACCAAAAAACAGTTCCGAAGTCCGGAAGTCAGTACGGGAAAGGGCAGTCGTCCTATAATCGTTAAGTTTCCACAAGTCAGCTTAAGCGTCGCTACCGTAAAACGTAGCACGAGAAACACCGCCAACTAAAGCGAACGCAACGTTACTCATAAGGGCGATGGAGGCACCACGTTCACGCGGTTAAGCAAGTCAAATAGCATAGGAGTACGCATACACACTTTGACTTATTCGATATCAGCGATGCTAAAACAAAAGATATGAGGTTATGTAGACAAAACGTTTAGCTAACGTAAGCGCTAAAGCTAACGTTAGCCATGGACGATGTGACTGCCGACATGTTACCTAACGTTACGATTTCAAATAGCGTTAGCACAAAGTTAGCCCAATTGTTCCCCGCAAATTCTTTCTCGTTGCAGTTACGCTAAAAACGGGTGATTTTAATGGTTTAAAAAAAGCAGCGCGGACAATCTTAACTTTACACGAAAAGGAGGAACCGACGTGCGAAGCAGCAACACATATTTAACAGCGTTAACGTTACGTTAGATAACACTGACCACGGTGAGGCCTGCTCAGCCGTAAACACCGTCCACATTCATTCAAAGACCACCGCAGCTAGCTTTCGATAATTACGTTGAATTCATACACACACGGCTTAGAAAACAGTTTCCCCAGAAACGCAAACGGTTGGGGACATTTACACGTCGCACAATGTACAAGCTATAATGGGCAAACATGCTGCCCCGCACGCCGCGGCCTAAGCAGCGAGCCACAGCCTGCTCGGTTCCCCTCCCTCGCCTAGCCCTAGCTCCTCAGCGTGCAGCTAGCTTTCCGACTTTAGCATGTTTGCTAGGACATTTAGCTATCACTTGTTCCAACAAAGCAAATTCGTTCGCTAGTCGCACCTATTGATTCTGCTGCATATATTTACCCAGTTTATACGCCGTGGATGCGGTCCGCATGTAGAAAATGCCCGGTAGGTGTAGTCATTCAATGCGTGACGCCAAATGATCGTTGAATATGCTAACCGTGCACGTTAGCCGACTACCCGATCCGCCATGATGAGCAAAAGTATCCCGAAATGCCATGCTGCGCGGTTTCAATGGCGGCGTTACTGTCTCCTAGGCAACTACATGCTCCATTGCAGCTTAGATATTTTACGATTCGTGACAAACCAGTAAATTTTTCTGAAATACATTATATATTCATTATTTTATCTATAGCACAATCTTTAAAAAATCGTTTATCCTACATTGGATAAAACGATGTCAGATGTGGATGCCTCAGACTTTGAAAATGTGTCAGGCATCAACTCTTTTGTATTGTCATGTTGGTACTCAATGTATACGCCAAGATACAGTGAAACTTAAATATTACGGCCATTTTAGAAATAATAAGAAGTGTCTAACATAGTTTTTCCACACAAGGTAAATTCCTTTGGATTAAAGGAAGTATCAAAATTTCACTTTACGAATCTGTTTTTTTTTTCATTAGCGGCTAATATATACCGTTTAAAACTCAACGTGACAATGAAGTAAGGGGTCTATGCAATTTATGTAGAATTTATAAATTGTGGAGACAATGCTTTTATTCTGAAAGAATCAGGTCGGAAGTCTTACTGTGTTTATGAAGCTCTCCATACACATGTTAGTGCAGCTAACAAGAGGATAGTGGTTCTGTTTAGTTGGAAAGCCATTACCAGCAATACGACATGAAGAAGAGGTTTAACATCAACCTAGACGACACGGCATTTGTCAAAGAAAGAACCCCGGTCGGTATTTACAAGAATAAACGTTACCTCTTAACTTCATGACGTCAGCTAGCTAGCTTTCCAGCTGTCAACGGCTACTACCTATTTGGAATTTAAAATGCCCCAACGTTATCTACTTTGCAACACAGCGTTTTGTTCTGATTCTCGATTCTCAAAAAAGGATTTCCATTCAATTGTGTTGCAGCCCAGGCCGCAGTTTCAACCTTCATTCAAAGGAGGCGAAAACACCTCCGGCTCTGCTGCATCCTCAGCGAAGGCTGCTTCTGAGCCCGTGGAGCGGCCCTTCTCCTATGCAGATTACATCGTGCAGAGCAAACGCACCGTGGCTGCTCCTGCTCAGACAGAACGCTGCTCCAAACTGCTCCAAAAGTCATTGTGTGAGTCGGATCCAGTGTCCTCTGCATCGGGTAGATGTGAAGGTGAAGGTGGATCTGAAGGAGATAAGAAGAGCGAGGACCCGCAGGTGACCGGCACACACCAGAAAGAGGGCAACGGTCACCCGAGGTCAGATCCAAGTCCGAGCCTGGGTCCAAAACCAGTAGGATCTGGAAGCAGCATTATTGTCAGTCCTCGACAGGTACGCATGTATGTCCCTCCTCACCTGGGCAGCAACTCCCTCCATCTATTCATCCATCCATCCTCTGCATATTCGTATTCACATTCATAGTTCTAAAGCAATCTCCCTTAATAATTGTATGTTTATTTTAATTGTAATTTTCTTATTCAGAGGGGGAATCCTATTCTGAAGTTTGTGAGGACTGTCCCTTGGGAGTTTGGAGATGTTGCACCAGATTATGTCTTGGGTCAGACAACTTGTGCTCTCTTCCTCAGGTGAGTTTGTATGAAGCGTGTGCACATACAGTGCATCCGGAAAGTATTCACAGCGCTTCACTTTTTCCACATTTTGTTATGTTACAGAATGGATTAAATTATTTTCCTCAACATTCTACACACAACAACCCATAATGACTTTCCGGATGCACTGTATATGAACAGACACATTGGGCAACATTTTTTTGATGACCATTGATTTTTTTTAACCCAATATTTGATGTGCACAATGTTATTTTTATATATTTTTGTTTCTTATATTGTTTTTTTTTTTTTTGCAATTTTTTGTTTTTGTTCAAAGCCTGAGGTATCACAATCTCAATCCAAACTATATCCATGACCGTCTGAAGCAGCTTGGACATACTTTTATCCTGCGAGTCTTACTGGTACAAGTAGATGTGGTAAGTAACAACAAAAGTAAAAAACTTTAAGAAAATACGTTGTTTTTTTCCTCTCGCCGATATTATTTTTTAATCACAGAAAGATCCTCATCATACGTTGAAGGAGCTCGCTCGCATCTGTATCATGGCTGACTGCACTCTCATCTTGGCTTGGAGGTAAGACCTGCAACAGATTGCCAAGTGGACACAGACAGAGAGGAGACAAGAGACTGTGCTTGGAAACTCTTAAGTGTAAAAAAAAAAAGTAATGCCTTTTCTCATTCTTCAACCACTCAATTAAAAAAAAAATCGTTTTGTTTTTCTGTCTCGCCACGATCGACAAATTTGGAAAAATTGTTTTCTCTGTTTATTATGAAACATTGTCTTTGGTAACAACAAATGTTACACATAAATACAACTAATATTTTCTTTCTGTTGACTTGACAGTCCAGAGGAAGCGGGTCGTTACCTGGAAACATACAAGTCATACGAAAAGAAACCTGCAGACTTATTGAAGGAGCAGGTTGAGAAAAACTACCTGTCAAAAGTGTGTGCATTTCATTTTCTTTAGTTTAAAGATTTGTTGGTTTATAGGTTATTGCTATTTTTATTGTGATCATTTTGAAAAATATGGAAGATTTTTTTTAATGTGACTGAATATAAGCAGTCACAGAGAATGTCAAGGAATATGAGTGTAATATATGTAGGTTAATATAGGTTTCTAGTCTTTGAACAATGCAATCACAAGTGGAGTGTTTTTTTTTTTTTAAGGTAACTGATTGCCTGACCACTGTGAAGTCTATAAACAAAACCGATGCCATTACCTTGCTGTCCACTTTCTCAGTGAGTACCACTACAGTGAAAATGATTCATCAGATTGCTCCTATACTGCATCATTGGCCATGCACAGACTAATCCACACACTGATTTTTATGAGGTGATGTATTGTGAGTTTTTTTCCAGTCTGTAGAAGGAATCATCAATGCCTCTAAGGAAGACTTGGTTCTCTGTCCAGGCCTCGGACCCCAAAAAGTGAGTGAAAATGCCACTGGCATTTTTCAATGTGTGCCATATGAATTTACCGAAAATACATGGAACTTTTCTTAAATGATCATGTTGGAATGTTGTGCTTCCAGGCACGGCGACTCCACGATGTGCTCCACAAGCCCTTCCTCAAGTCAAAGACAAAAGACAGCTGAAGCTTCTTCCCAAGGAATGCAAAGACACGCAGTGTTCAGAGGACTAAAATTATTCTATAAACGCTCCTGCTCTATTAAGGGGAAGGTCGAACGGGGTGCCTCTTAGACTGACAATCAGCTACGGGTGTTTAGCTGTTAGAGCTATACGCTGATTCAATGCTGTATTGAGCTAAGATTAATGTCGTTTTTTTATTGCTTAATTAATTTTGTATAATAATAATAAATATGTTGTAATATTTGTATTTTGTTTACTGTGCAGGGTACTATGGCCCTTTTTATTACAAAAACCCCTGAAAGTATTTAAGTGATTTGTATCTTGATAAATATATATTACTTAGTAGACGGTGCTACAGGCAGTTTTCAAATGAAAGCAGTGTTGCCTTTAAGAGCCCCTCCGCTATTACGAACCTACGTTTGTAAATTAGCGTATGGTCTTACGGTTTGTCAAATCTCGGTCTAAGTTGAGATGTAGCAATAGAAAGGACACATAGGAAATGAAATCGATCATCATTTCACAATTCGGAAGAGTTTAGTTAGATAGTCTTTTCATGTTGGTATCTCAAGGAGGGAGAAGATAAACTAAAGTTTCGATAATTCCGCCAGCACGTAAAGACACGCTAACAAACACGTCAAAACCGGAAGTGTTCTTTCCACGCCAGTTTAAACGCACGGTTTTGTCTTCTTGATTTAACACTTATAACGTTAAATATGATTATTTATCTATCTTTATTTATCTCTCGGACAGTTAATTTCTTTCGTGAAACCGAGCAGTAGGCGAACTGAAATCACAACAACAACCGCCGCCGCTATAGAGATGCAGGCGGAGAACGAGGAAGAGGATGCTGTGTCCGTTGAAGAGTATGTGGCCCGGTCTAGCTTCACCAGAAATGACAACGACCAGGTTAGATACCGACACGGTGGTTTGGAAGACAACCGTTCCCGGTTTGCTCTAACAGCTTTTAATTTGTTTGCCCCGCAGCTTAGTTTTAGCAGCGGGGACGTGCTGCTCGTGCACGCCAAAACGTCTTCAGAGTGGTGGTGGGCGGAGTTGAGTGGGGTCAAAGGTTACGTTCCTGCCAGCTACCTGCTCCAGGGCGCTGAGGAGGAGGAGGAGGAGGAGGACCCATGGCAACATAAAGAATACTTCGGCAGTTATGGGACACTGGTTAGAAGCTGTTAGGGATCATTAGAGAGATGTCTGCACGTTGGTGACAATACCAAACATCAACATGCAAAAAAAACTGAAACTGATTAGTTTGCTAATTCATCACAGTGAACATATTTTCTATTGTCCAAAGTTATGTTAATCCTACATAGTGGCAGAGTTACAGGGCCTTGTTATTTGGCGGTGTGTTGTAGGACAGCTTCACAGATTCCAGAGAGCTGCTGAAAGGTGTTACGTTCACGGAAGATGGTGCAAAATCGTACTCAGAATAGATATGTGATTCATTTTAAAGCATGTCTTTCAAACCTTGGAAGGTCAGCATTTCAAAAAATGAACCACGCAGAAAGACGCATCAAAACAAAGCAATCACTACTCTTCCCGAGGGCAAAAATTAAATCTGTGATGGATTATCTTTCAACCAAGTTTTCAAGGCTCCTATCAGGATTTTTTTTACTATCGTGAAATAACAATTGTAACAATGCCTGCCTGTAAGGTAGGTAGACCCATTTAATCCAAACATCCATCCATCCATCCATCGTCAAACCGCTTATCCTGCACACAGGGTCGCAGGGGGGCTGGAGTCCCAAACATACATATTTATTTAAAAAATATGTCATTTATTGTAGAAGTATGCACTTAGTGGGTCTAAAAAAATAACGTTGCAAAATGACAATGAAAATGAATATTCATATAAAAAAATAACAATTTAATGGAGGGATTTGGTTCTGTTTTTGCAAAAGCATTTCCCGGACTGTCCCATTTATTTATTTATTTGTATTCATATATCTTCATCTGTAATGTATATCAGTTCAATTTCATTGTTCCTTTTTTTTTTAAATTATCATCACACAGAGGCTTCACTTGGAGATGTTGTCTGATAAGAGCCGCACTGAGGCGTACCGGCAGGTTATTCTCAGCAACAGCGCTTCTCTGAGGAATAAGGTGGTGATGGATCTTGGCTGCGGGACTGGCATCATCAGCCTTTTCTGCGCTCAACTCGCAGAACCCTCAGAGGTGATGCAATCAATACGACTGGTGGGAAAGGTTGCTAAAACGCTGATGCACGCTTACACAGAACCACACAGGCTGCTGGTTATGCTGTGAGTCTATGTGTATATACCGGCTCAGATCCAAAGACGTATGGCCATGCATACACGTGTTGGTGGATGGACCGTAAAAAAAATGAAATTAATTGGCACTTTTTATTCCTCAACTCCCTTTGTCAAAACCTGGTGCCTGTATTACCCAAAAGGCAACTCAACCTCTGACTATTCTATCAGAGATTTAGGTGTGTTATGCTATTAGCAGCTTTTTCACATGTGCAGTAGTGCTCCCCAAGATGTGTTTAATTGGCTAATTTTCACTTTTAGGTGTCCACAATTTCCCAGCCCATTTGGCCAAGCAGTTATCTAACTCCAATCTTAACTTTCAATTTCCAAGAAATGTGATAAATGTGGAAAGTCAGAATCTCAGGTCTGCCCAAACTCCTAATACTGGTGCACCTACACTCCCATCCGCTGGACAAGGTGTGTTACTGCATATTATAAACACCACGGCGTTCACACTGTCTTCGTCTATCCGTGGTACTGTAGGTTTATGCCGTGGAGGCCAGTTCCATGGCAGAGTACACCAGGCAACTGGTGAAGCAGAACGGCTGCGAGGAGTTGGTCACGGTGCTGCAGGGACGAGCCGAGGAGATCGAGCTCCCTGAGCAGGTGGACGTCCTGGTGTCGGAGTGGATGGGAAACTGCCTGCTGGTAATGATGACCACGTCCCCCCTACTCATTCACGTGTGTTATTGTGAGTTGTGTCCTGCTGAAGGTGCTTTGTCCCAGTCGTATTATAGTTTGTCTGTCTCTGCTTCCTCTGGTCTAGTTTGAGTTCATGGTGGAGTCGGTGCTGCTGGCCAGGGACCGCTGGCTTAAGGAAGGTGGCGTCATGTGGCCGTCATCTGCCGCACTCAGCCTAGTGCCATGTCAGGCCGACAGCTATTATGCCGAGACGATGGCCTTCTGGGAGCAGCCTTATGGCCTGGACTTCACTCCTCTTCAGTAGGTTCATCTCACTGAGCACTGCACGCTCTCATTTATACTTTTTCTACCGCTAACACAGCCCCAATATTGAATATCATTTGATTCCAGTTTTTGGGGGGATTTCTTTATTTCAGAAGTGAAAATAATGTGCGGTTCCAAGTAGTAATGCTATTTATGCTAGAAACGCTTGGGATGGCCACACGTACGGCAGCGTTATTACTGAAATACAATGAAAGGTAAATAGGGCATGCGTTAAAGCAACGGATTAAATGTGTTCAGCTGTCGGTGTATTCAATGACTCTTCATGCCACGATATTTAACTTGTTGTTCAATCACACAAGGGATCTGTTGCCTCATTAACATTGCTATTCACTTTTTTTTGCAACATGTTACATTACTTCAAAGACACACTCGCTTCTTTGTTTATTACGTTCATCCCTCATTCTGCGTGTAGTAACTGTGTTTTCAAAATAGATCCAGTGTGACTGATCCAGCAGCCCCCTCAGGCTAAAAGAAAAGTCTGGCATCTTTTTTTTTCTTCTTTTTTTTTTTTTACTGTAAGTTGCTTTATGTTGCCTTGAAACAAAAATAAACATCAATTTTACGACTGCAGCTAAAGTGCACCTACACCGCTGATTGGTATTACGTGGCGTAATAAGACTTTAGTATTTCAATTTGATTGAAATCCTTTAGCATTCTGGCAATTTTCTATGTTTTAGTGAAAAATAGTCATGATAGAAAAGTAGAAATGTAAATGTTGTGCCCAGATACAAGGAGACCAGCATGTTGCTGAAGAATGAGGAAAACAGCTTTTGTTTAAGGACAGGTGTACAAGGAAACGAAACCCTTTGTGTTGCAGGCGATTACTCTTTTGATGAGATCTATTCATTGTTCCGATGTGTGTGGGTGGCTGTCACAGGTTTGTGGAATTGTGTTGTCACATTATGCACAACGCACACACTTTAAGTTTGAGATGATGACCATCTGTAAAGGGGATTTGTTCAACTTGTCCCCCAGATTGTTTTTTGTAAACTTTGATATATTTCTCTTTGAAACAGTGCCTCCCTTTTTTTTCTCTGGTGCGTGTCTTAGTACAGAGAGAAACTACATCAAACGTTACCTGAATTGCCTTCTCGTGGAGGGGGTGAATTTGTTTAAAGTAGAAAAAGCTTCAGGCGCCACCATGATGAAGGCTTGATAAGTCAAATGTGTTTGCTGAACAAGGTCAGCTTTGTGCAATGCAAAAAAATACCATCGCATTAAAGAAACGTATCTTTTATTCTAGTGAGTTATCTCACGGAATGTGTGTGTTGGCTGTATAAGTTATCTGTGGCAGTAACCTCATTTACCCCTTTGTGGTGAACACCCCGTCGCCTCTGCAGGCCCCTGGCACAGCAAGAGTTCTTCACCAAGCCCAAGTTCAGTCACGTGATTGAGCCCGAGGACTGCCTCACTGCGCCCTGCGACGTCCTGCAGCTGGACATGTACACCCTGCAGGTCAAAGACCTGGAGGTACAGCTTGTCCTTTTTTTTCATTTGGAATTGTTCCTCTCCACACACTTGATTTTTTGCAACGAGTGCACTTTGTTTAATTTCCCAGGAAATAAAGGGTCACTTTCATTTCCGTGTGGAGAGGTCTGGTGTTTTTCACGGGTTCAGCGCTTGGTTCAAAGTTCAGTTTGAGAGCCTGCAGAGGGGAGGTGCCCCCGTGGAGCTCAACACCGGACCGAACTCTGAGTATAACAGCAAAAACACATTCCAACAGCCCATACTGCTAATTCAAATAACGCTAATAATTTAGGCTTCATAGACGATATCTGAGTGTATCTCTGTTACAGGCTGCATAAAACGTCATTATACTCATGAGTTTTGGTGGTTCTCTTCAGGCCCACACATTGGAAGCAGACTCTGTTCATGCTGGACAGGCCAGTTAGTGTGCATGCTGAAGACGCCATCAGCGGAAGCATCAGCCTGCACAGGAACCCGGTCTGGAGACGCCACATGACGGTCACTCTGCACTGGAGCGTTAAGCGCAGCCGGGAGGGAACAGGCGGCTGCCAGGCAGGACGTTTATTGCTCTCTTTCTAGTGCTTACAGTGTAGATTAAATCTGCTTTATTGACAATGCCCATAAAAGCGGTGGTTGATCGTTTTATTCTCTCGCTATCAGCCTCTCCAGAGTACTCGTTTGACCTCTTACATGTAAACGGTGGCCTAGGATTTGCTCAACTGCATTTTCATTCCCTCCCTCACTCCGTCCACAGGTTGGGACAAAGAGTTTCCCCATGTGGAGGTGACAGAATTCTCCGTCGGCATTGGTGATCCAAATACATCCTCTGTCGAGTCGAGGGTCAGTGAGGTGACCTGGAATGAAGTGTGAGGCTCATCTGAGGCGACTCGTCGTCCCGTGGTGTTGAGCGTGATGACTACAGGCCCAGGTGAAGCATACGGCTCACTATGAATCATGTTAGAGTGTCACTGTGGAGCGTTGGCTGGGTGGAAAGAGGCTTTACAAGATGATTGATATCTTCCACATTCATTAATTCATTTCATGTACATAGTCATTTGTTTGACTGCTATACATATCAGTTTTGTATTGGTTTAAGGAAACATTAAGCATGGATTTGATGGTTTAGATACCATTTTATATCTTCAAAGATTAAAGTGAACGAAGTACATCAATGAAATGCTACAGTCACAACTTGCAATTAGCCCAATGTGCTGAAATAGGCATTGAATAACAACATTGTGGTACACAATAAATGAATCATTAACAAAATAACTTGGAAATGAATAAACTTGTTTCTATATATATATGTTACAGTATTTTGGGAGATTTTTTTAACCACAAATGTGCTGTTTGACCCTTTCTCAAATCATTTGTAAACATAACTTGTCATCGGAGGGTGCAAGGTTTTCAGTTCTCAATTTTTTTTAAATTTCCATCAACATGACACTACATGAGCACTTTTTGTCTCTGCCTCTTCCCCCCTTCTGGGTCACGGCTCCGTTTTACTCTTTGCTTTGGCTCTTGAGCGCGTGTTGACCTCCGAGGATAAAGGCTGAGCGGCTAACGGTTCGGGAGGCGGCGACCCGGAGAGCGGAACAAACTGGGGGGGTTTAACGACTTTGTCATAAACCTCCTTTCCCGCACTTTTATCCCTTTTCTGCCTCAAGTGTTTATCGCAGTGTGTCACGAAAGTATCCAGCTTGGCGAAGGTCTTGTTGCACACTTTGCAGTGATAAGGCCGCTGTCCTTTGTTGAGGCGTATGTGCAGCCTGATGTACGAAGAACGCACAAAGGTGCGGCAGCAGACGCCACAGTTCAGATCCGCGTTGCCGCTTGCGCCCTGCTGCTGGGTCTGCTTCGGCGCCGCGGCCGGTTTGGCCCGGCCGGACGACTCCTCCGCCTTGTGCGCGAGCATTAGAGACAGCGAGCGAAAGCCTTTGCCGCACTGCTCGCACTTGTATGGCCGCTCGCCCGTGTGCAGCCGGACGTGCGCCAGGAGCCCGGCCTTCTGCGTGAACGACTTGTCGCAGAAGGTGCACTTGAAGGGCTTTTCGCCCGTGTGGAGGCGCTGGTGGGTCTTCAGATGCGAGGCGCGGCCGAACGTCTTGCCGCACTCGGGGCATTTAAACGGCCGGTCCCCGCTGTGGATTATCTTGTGTGCCATCAGGTGGGAGGACTGGTGGAAGAACTTGCCACAGGTGTTGCATCTGAACTTCCTCTCCTTGTTGTGAGAGGCCAGGTGAAGGGCCAGGTGGGTGGAGGAGATGAAGGTTTTGGAGCACAGGCTGCAGCTGTGAGGGTCCAGGCGGGGGCGGCGGTGCGGGCGGCGCTCATGCGGCCGGCTGCCCCCCGCCCGGCAGCCCGGGCATTTGGGGGCGCCGGCTGCTTTGTCCGCACGCTGCCGGTCAGGTGGGGCAGCAGCGTCGTCCGAACGGGAGTCGGGCTGCGGTAGGAGGCCTCCACAGTCCGAGCAGTGCTCAGGCCCGTGGTCCATATCGCTGGGTTTATTCAACATGGTGCAAACCTACACCCGGGCAGGGCGGGGAGTGGCCGTCGCCGTTTGACGCATCACGGGGGGCATCTGAAAGGAGACGAACACATCGTGGTTATCGCGCTCTGTGGCTTCCATGTGCGGCGGCGGGGCGTCAAAACGAGGCCCCGCCCACAAGCATAACGGACGTAGCACGGCAGAAAGACAACGGGCCACTATCGTTTCTTCTCGGCTCAGCCGCACTCACGGACGACGTGATTACGTCGGTCGATGAACCGAACTTTTCGAACATTTAAAGCAAAGAGAAGAAGCGGAAACACACCCGCCGAACGACAGAGTAGCAGCAGGCCAGGGCGGGGGAGGGTTGGTTAAAGCACGTAAACAATACATGTTACATACCGCGCGTATTCCCCCTTAGAACGTGTTGTGCTGAACGTAATTGTCAAGTAAGCGCAGATAAAACATCGAACTATGGCAGCAGGAGTGAGGTTACAGCGCTGCTCCTTTGTGGTGTTCCCGCAGCCCGCGCCGTCATCTCGCGAGAGGAGGAGCGACGTCTCTCGAGAGTTTGGTGCCATACAGTTTCGTTTCAATATAAAAGGAACCCAACATATTTTGGCGTTGATTTCAAAGTTTTCTTAAAGACCTTAAGTTTCGTTTCGGCACTCAATTTCAGAGGAAACGGAATAGCAGAACCGGGGTGTGGTTTCGGTGGTGTACAGCCATAGGATTTATAAGCTGCAGAACTGATGAGACATCAGAAGGCTGTTAAACTTGGTAACTGATGCGGATCTTCACAGACATGACTGAGGTAACCTTTCTTTTTGTTCTGTGTATTTAGAATTATGAAAATGTTTATGAGCACTGTGAGGAATTAAATTAATTACAAGATATATGTAAAATCTATTCGCAAAAAAAAAGAACATTTACATTCCTCATTAAAAAATGCTGAGCGGTCGGAAAGTTTTGTCCATTTTTTAAATCTTTATATCGAATGTCATTAAAAGATAAACGGAGTTTTCAGAAATCTCCACTTTGGCCGGAGTTTTTAGAAATGATCGTTTTCCGTGATAAAACCTCCGTTTTGTGTAAATGAAAGGCCAAAACGCATGAAAATATACGCGTTTTCCCATCGTGTAATCGGGGTCTTAGTCTCATTGTTTTTGCTTTTATTTAGAAAACCAGTTGGATGAGGCTCACTTTAACGGCGTCCCAGGTATAAAGGTCATACATTGGTCTGTGAGTTTAGTCAAAATGATTGGGTCCTGATGGGTGTCACCGTCCCAAACGGTAGAAAGGCTATAAACGAAATCTCTGCAACATGAGTTCCAAATCCCCCATGATGCCGTCATCATCGGCAGTCGGGCTCATCAACAGAGTCCAGTCCCCCACTGACTGACTCTGACATTCCACCCGTCACCTTCCATTACATTACAGGTCATTTAGCAGACGATTTTATCCAAAGCGACTTACACCCATGGCTTTTTCACATTTTTGCCCGGGGAACAATTAGGGGTTAGGTGTCTTGCTCAGGGACACTTCAACATGGAACATGGGGCAGCCTGGACTCGAACCACCAACCTTGTGCTTCACAGCACACCTTCTCTAACCTCTGCGCCACGACGTCACCTTCTTTCACACTGCCCACGTCACTTACACTTGTCACTTTCGGTTCGCTGGTGCACTGTATTTTTTAATTTTTAAATATTTGTAACTTTAACTTTTATTACTTTATTTTAAACTAACCCACAACCTTATACTACTAACCCATAGCCTTATTTTTCAATTTTTTATTTTATTCTTCATGCACTGTAGTCTTGTCGTCCATGTCGTACTGTCTGCTGTTACGCACCAACCGTCAAGTATGTCTGACACATTATGGCAATAAATGTTTCCTGATTCCTGATCCTGACATTTGGTGCGTTGCAATCAGCCACTCCCTGTATTTAAAGGCTGCCAAGATTGCCAGCAACCACACCCTCAGCTTTATTACCGTAACTACCGGGGTCATCAACGTTATCCGACAACACTCTTGATCGTGTTGCTGTTTAGATGTTAACTGAACATGTGCAGGCAGACCAACCATACTTAACAAGCATGATGTGTGAACACAGTTGTTGAGTATGAATCAAACAATATGTGCCATCTGTTTGCCGATTGATCCTCAATGTGCATGAGGTTGACATTCAACAAAACTCACCAAGGGACACATATATTATTAGGATAGATGAAAACTACTCTGGCTCTCTTACAGCTTCCAAGCCTGAAAGGATGAGTTCTAAGACCAAGAAAAAATCTAGGTGAGTGCATCTCGGTTTTTATGTTGTTTTATGTGCCAACTGAACCACTTTGAGAATAACGTGCTATTTTCACCAAAGGGCAGTGAAGCAAACTTTCAGTTGACAAAAATGTATTATAATACAAAGAAACCATGTCATCCCCAGGGTTGGGTTGAATAGATTATTTTGACTTGTATGGCCGTACACTGCCTTTCACACTGAGAACAACATCTTGTTTGAATGGACAGTTAATTCAGGCTCTTGATTTTTTGATCTTGCTACGCACTGCTTTATTGTACAGAATATTGTTATTGTTGACAGAAAAATACCAAATTAGCCACTGGACTCGTACGCTAATATTTATACTACTCGTGGCAAGTGAGGGTGTTAGTGTAGAAATGAAAGCTTTTTATATGACATCATAAACAATAACAAGAGATGACAATTTGTTACAATCCCTTTACAGATTTATATGTGATTCTTAGTGCACCGACCTGTATAAATTCCATATATTAATTAAAGATTCAAAATCCATTGCAGTCATATAAATAGATAAACCAAGATTTTTCTTTTAATTCCTTGTTTAAAGGAACAATAAGATAAGATAAGATATCCCTTTATTAGTCCCACAATGGGGGAATTTACAAAAGCACTTGCAACTATTATGTCTCTGAGTCAATGTCATTTACCAGCATTGAGGTAATTAGAGCACTAAACATACAAGTCAATTAAACATACTGATACTGACCTTCCTTTATTGCTTCAGGACTCACTCTGTGCTTATTTAAAGCTGTAACTGTAGTTTCTTTCTCTCGGTACAGAACGTCCTTTGGGGCCACAGCCCCGCCCTTCCTCGACTACCTGCAGGATATTCTCCGTCGATATCCGGATGGTGGACAGATTTTAAAGGTGGGTGAAATGTTCTGATTGACAATAATGTCTTTGTAGGCTTTCATATTCTCTAAATGATACATACCATCATTCTTTGTATTGAGCTAACACACCTGTAGTATGTTTCTCTTGGCATGAGCAGCTAGGTTGCTAAACACGTTGAACCCTTTATAATTTCTTTTGAATCCAGAAAACAGGTATTTTTATTGAGATTACAGACTTTTGGGACATGAAATATTTAAATTGCAATTTTTGCCCTGCCAATAAAACAAAAAATTAGGTGTCACACTCAATTAATGCACGTATTACATTTTTATCTTTAGTCAAATGTAATACTTTACCTTTTGTGTTTCTCTGCCTTTAATCCACCAGCTGTTTGTGTGACAGTACCAATTTGTGGCCCCTGTTTGTAATTCATGGGCTAAATCTTGCTTCAGCATATTAATGTAGAGATCAGCTAATGCAGCTTTCCGGTGAAAGCCAACTATTTATGGCACACTAGGGAGGATTCAACTATTTTGAAAAGACTGCAACCAAGTTTGTGCCAAACTTTTCAAAAATATTTTTCATAGCCGATATTTTTAAGTTCTCATGGAAGGAAAAGCACAGGTACTATATAATCCGGTGCAAGTAATAATAACTTGATTTAATATTAAAGTTCCACTCTGAACACCCACAAGGGTATTTTCAGTTACTCTGGCTGATTAGACCCTGTTTGTGTCAGCTGGTTTGTAAATTTGCGTCAAAGTCAGCTTTATTTTCAATTCCTCGACGTGTACCAAACACACAGAGGAGTTGAAAAAATGTTTCTCTCCAGTCCAACATATAAAGTAAATATAGATAACGGTAATAAAGTAAAAGATGAAAAACATTTTTAGGGAACATATATTATGAGAAAAAACATCAATCTGTATTTAAGCTCTATAGTCAGACAAATAGTCGAGGGGAGCCTTAAAAGAGAGGGGGAATTCTTTAACAAAGAAACAGTAAAGTTCAACAGAATTGAAAAGTACTTCTGCATGTATACAATATGTAAAGGACCTCTGAAAGTGTGTTACTTTTTAATGTGTTTGTGTGTGTGTGTGTGTGTATATATATATAAAATTATCAAAAATAAATGATCGCCAAAATGATAAAAAAAATACTCATAATAAAATAAATAAAAAACAAAACTCTTTTCTTGGCATTATGCTGCAATTTTTGTAAATGAGATAAACAATGTTGTGCATAATAATTAAGAGTGACTTACAGAATCTCTATAAAGCTGACAACAGCTTTTACTATTTTCGAACAGAGTTGAAGCATAAGCAGCTAATATACTGCAATATACCTCACCAGACTGTCATGTAGCTCAACTTAAGACCTACCTTTCATTTCAATAATTGAATTAAACAAAACTTGAGAACTTGTCTAATTTGTAGAACAGTAACCTTTAAATTATCTGTCTGACTGTCTAATGAAGAGAGAGAGGGACTGCACGAGCACCGAGCAACAAAAGCGCGATGATACGTAACAACATTGTTGTGACAGAACGTTCTAACTGTCATTCATAAATTCACCCCGTCTGCAGGCAGCCACATCACGCAAAGATGACCAAAACTCTCATTTCGGTCGTCACGCACTTCGGGCCACACATCCAATTTCTCACGCTAAAAAAAACATCCATTCATCCAGCCATTTGAGTGTTATCTTTGGTTTGCTAAGATCTGACAGTTATTGTTCTCATCTGGCAACAGGAGCTGATTCAAAATGCAGACGATGCTCAAGCCACAGAAGTGGTTTTCATCCATGATGAGAGAAGCTATGGAACTGAGAGCCTTTGGACAAATGAATTGGGAGAATACCAAGGTATGCAGCATCTCCAGAGAAAAGCCATGCTCCAAGTCGTGTATTTTTCAGCCCAAATTGATATGAGAAAATTGAATAAAAAAGATTAAATTGAAAAATATATTGTTATGCAGTAATGAAATGTCAGCACTGTACTTTGTATACCATCACTGTTGTCATGTGGGTTTCTTCCCACACTCCAGATTGTTTTGCCAAAGAGGAAAATGTTTTATTAAGACAAAATTCATTCTTATGTTGATGATAACTATCTATTATAGTTTTATAGTTTATATATATACTGTATATATATATATACTGTGGTATGGTACCGGTTTGTGGGCCATTTGTTTCCAGGCCGCACCACAGAAAGATTTCTTTTTTTTTGTCATTTGACTTCTGAAATATGTTTTATTTTTAAATGCATGCGACTACAAAAAAAATGCCGTATATTGTTACACAAGCACTCTTCCTCTGAGCAATTTTTTTAATTTTTGTTTTCACAAAAGGTCCTGCTCTCTACGCCTACAACAATGCTGCGTTCACTGAGGATGACTGGGAAGGAATTCAGCTGGCCGGGCGGAGCGGCAAGCGCAACGACCCAAACAAAGTCGGGAGGTTTGGTATCGGCTTCAACTCTGTCTACCACATAACAGGTGAAATCATCTACGTATACACTCTCATAACGAGTAGTCTCAGTTGGAGTATTGGTCCCTCTGTAGACATAATACATAGTAAATTAATTGGGCCGTATCTGTGTTACTTCATTCACAGATGTGCCAAGTATATTCAGTTCAAAGCACCTTGGCATGATGGACCCCCAGGAAAAGATATTTGAAAATGGGAAGGGTTTTCTGTGGTCTTTGGATAACACAGAACACCAAGATGCTCTAACGACTATGATCGATCAGTTTCAACCATTTCGAGATATAGTTTCACTTGTAAGCAGACAAGAATGGTCAAAAGTCGTGGAGGATCAACACTTTGACGGGACAATCTTCAGGTTCCCCTTGCGCAATCAGGCATCAGATATTTCAGATAATCTGTATGACTCTAACAAGGTGGTCGAGCTTTTTGATAGCTTCATTTTGGATGCAGACTTGAGTCTTCTGTTCCTGAAAAATGTGACCTCTGTGGCCTTGATCCACATCAATGCACACGGCACTGCTAACACCAGACTTGAGGTGAAGTCCTCAGTCCCCACAGATGTCATTCTGAAGTCAGAAGACAAGTCAATTGTTGAGGGTTCAACAAGGTTTAAACTGATAACTCTCAACTCAGAGGACCAAAAATTCACAAAGTGGCTTGTGACAACATGTACCATGAAAGAAGGCCACGTTGAAAATCTTGATTCACTGGCAAAGAAGTTGAGCTTTTTCCCTCAAGTTGACTTGGCTTTCCCGTGTGGTGAGAAGAGAGATTGTAGTCAGAGTAGACTGAGCTGCTTTCTTCCTCTCCCAAACAACGAATCCAACAAGACCGGCCTCCCGGTTTATATCAACGCATGCTTTGGCCTCACAGACAACAGAAGACAAATCAAGTGGCAGGAGGACGACCAGAAACACGACGAACATGCTGTGTGGAATGAATTGCTGATGAAGGAGGTGCTCCCACACGCATACCTCATGATCATTCAACATGCTATCAAACTTGCCCAAAAATCCGATCTGCCCGTCTTGTCCGTGTACGATCTGTGGCCAGACATTGCCCAGATACAACACAAAGACAAGTGGTACGCTGTGGCGCTGGATGTCTTTCATCACTTATTCAGCCAGAAACTAGCTGTCCTCTCTCTTGCCAAAGATGAAAGAGAGTTCATCACTCCGTCAGAAGCCGTGTTGCCCTGTAATGGACCAACGAGCCCCGACACATTTGCCGCCATTAAAAGGATTCTGGTTTCATGCGGAGAAAATCTTGTCACTTTACCGGGTAACGTTTCAAGAGCTTTAAGTGAGGCGTACCCACGCGCCCTTAAACATGTGACTCCAACTTTTCTACGGGACATTCTCCGTAGGATTGGTGTGCACAACATCTCTAAAGAGGACAAACTCTGTCTTTTGGAATACGTCTTAAGTGATGAAAAATACAAAGACCTCAAGGGTCTTCAGCTACTTCCACTCAACGATGGATCTTTCAGATCCTTCTCAAACAGAGAGGAAGACACTGCTTTGATTGACAGCAGGGATTTTCCAAGGTAGGTTTTTACATTTTTAGCTTCATTCATTTGACATTTTAAAAAAATGAAATAAATTAACAGAAGTTACTATGGATTTACTGCAATTTAAAGTACTAAGTGGCCAAATATGTGCAATATATGCCAATGTCATAGTTATATATTTAAACTTGTTCTTCTGAGTTTGTATCCTTATGGTTGAAATGCACTTATTGTAAGTCACTTTGGATAAAAGCGTCAGCTAAACTTATCTTCTGTGCAGAGTCTTGCTACCATTCTGCAAACACCTCTTCATCCCAGATGATCTCACTCCCGCCTGCAGAACCCACCTGAAAGAACTGGCCAGAAAAAGTAGGAGTCATTTATAGAAAGGAGATCATGAAAGTTATTGTCATCTGCATGTTTTCACAAAACACCAACATATATGTATATATCTTTCAGGTTTATTTAAGGTCATCAACATTGGCGCAGCCCATATTGCCGATTACACAAGGAGGTATTTGCCACAGGACTGGAAGCAGATGAAGACAGGGCTTGTCACCTGGGACATCCGCCGCAGCCAACATCCGCCTTTAGACTGGCTCCAAGATTTCTGGAAATTTCTCAACACGCACTTCAAAGAGTTAAGTGGTTTCACTGGAATGCCATTAATACCAGTCAGTCCCCTGTCTGCCAGTCAGCCTGTATCACTTGCAAGACTGGAAAAGAAAACAACCCTCATATTTCAGAAAAGCAAGCAGATGAACTTGCCAGAACAAATAACTCAGTTACTGAGCAAAGTTGGTGGGACAGTGGTGAGAGGAAACGATTGGCTCACACACAAAGACCTTGACTCGTATGTGCTGTGCCCATCTCCAAAGACTGTCATGAAAGTCTTGGCAAACTTAGATTCTCAGGTTATCATCAGAGAATTCAAAACTGCTTCTTACAAAGCACGAGAAGAACTGAAAGATTATCTCTCTCACCTTGACTCTCAAATGGATTCTCTCTCCAAGGCTGAGAAAGATCTACTCTCCCAGTTGCCTCTGTTTCAGACCATGAAAGGTGCCTGTGTTGCAGCTCAATCAAAACAGGCTGTGCTTCTCATTTCTGGTCTAACAGTACCAGCAGAGTTCCCCATGCCCGATTCTGTTGTGCAGTGTGCAACTGAGGCTGATCGCAGACTGTTACAGCTGCTGAAGGTTAATCTCTTGAACACTGCTGAAGCGACCAATCTCCTCCTTGATTGTATCGAGAGGGGGGCTTTCAAAAAGCAAGACACTGAGAACATTATGACTTGGATTTTACAACACGGTGATAACCTTTTCCCTCAAAATCGGACCTTGAAACTCAGATGTAAGGCCTTGAGCTTCATGGAGGTGAATGGAAAGCCAAGAAACACTTCAAGCTTTTTTTTTGTTTCTTCCCACACTCCAGATTGTTTTGCCAAAGAGGAAAATGTTTTATTAAGACAAAATTCATTCTTATGTTGATGATAACTATCTATTATAGTTTTATAGTTTATATATATACTGTATATATATATACTGTGGTATGGTACCGGTTTGTGGGCCATTTGTTTCCAGGCCGCACCACAGAAAGATTTCTTTTTTTTTGTCATTTGACTTCTGAAATATGTTTTATTTTTAAATGCATGCGACTACAAAAAAAATGCCGTATATTGTTACACAAGCACTCTTCCTCTGAGCAATTTTTTTTATTTTTGTTTTCACAAAAGGTCCTGCTCTCTACGCCTACAACAATGCTGCGTTCACTGAGGATGACTGGGAAGGAATTCAGCTGGCCGGGCGGAGCGGCAAGCGCAACGACCCAAACAAAGTCGGGAGGTTTGGTATCGGCTTCAACTCTGTCTACCACATAACAGGTGAAATCATCTACGTATACACTCTCATAACGAGTAGTCTCAGTTGGAGTATTGGTCCCTCTGTAGACATAATACATAGTAAATTAATTGGGCCGTATCTGTGTTACTTCATTCACAGATGTGCCAAGTATATTCAGTTCAAAGCACCTTGGCATGATGGACCCCCAGGAAAAGATATTTGAAAATGGGAAGGGTTTTCTGTGGTCTTTGGATAACACAGAACACCAAGATGCTCTAACGACTATGATCGATCAGTTTCAACCATTTCGAGATATAGTTTCACTTGTAAGCAGACAAGAATGGTCAAAAGTCGTGGAGGATCAACACTTTGACGGGACAATCTTCAGGTTCCCCTTGCGCAATCAGGCATCAGATATTTCAGATAATCTGTATGACTCTAACAAGGTGGTCGAGCTTTTTGATAGCTTCATTTTGGATGCAGACTTGAGTCTTCTGTTCCTGAAAAATGTGACCTCTGTGGCCTTGATCCACATCAATGCACACGGCACTGCTAACACCAGACTTGAGGTGAAGTCCTCAGTCCCCACAGATGTCATTCTGAAGTCAGAAGACAAGTCAATTGTTGAGGGTTCAACAAGGTTTAAACTGATAACTCTCAACTCAGAGGACCAAAAATTCACAAAGTGGCTTGTGACAACATGTACCATGAAAGAAGGCCACGTTGAAAATCTTGATTCACTGGCAAAGAAGTTGAGCTTTTTCCCTCAAGTTGACTTGGCTTTCCCGTGTGGTGAGAAGAGAGATTGTAGTCAGAGTAGACTGAGCTGCTTTCTTCCTCTCCCAAACAACGAATCCAACAAGACCGGCCTCCCGGTTTATATCAACGCATGCTTTGGCCTCACAGACAACAGAAGACAAATCAAGTGGCAGGAGGACGACCAGAAACACGACGAACATGCTGTGTGGAATGAATTGCTGATGAAGGAGGTGCTCCCACACGCATACCTCATGATCATTCAACATGCTATCAAACTTGCCCAAAAATCCGATCTGCCCGTCTTGTCCGTGTACGATCTGTGGCCAGACATTGCCCAGATACAACACAAAGACAAGTGGTACGCTGTGGCGCTGGATGTCTTTTATCACTTATTCAGCCAGAAACTAGCTGTCCTCTCTCTTGCCAAAGATGAAAGAGAGTTCATCACGCCGTCAGAAGCCGTGTTGCCCTGTAATGGACCAACGAGCCCCGACACATTTGCCGCCATTAAAAGGATTCTGGTTTCATGCGGAGAAAATCTTGTCACTTTACCGGGTAACGTTTCAAGAGCTTTAAGTGAGGCGTACCCACGCGCCCTTAAACATGTGACTCCAACTTTTCTACGGGACATTCTCCGTAGGATTGGTGTGCACAACATCTCTAAAGAGGACAAACTCTGTCTTTTGGAATACGTCTTAAGTGATGAAAAATACAAAGACCTCAAGGGTCTTCAGCTACTTCCACTCAACGATGGATCTTTCAGATCCTTCTCAAACAGAGAGGAAGACACTGCTTTGATTGACAGCAGGGATTTTCCAAGGTAGGTTTTTACATTTTTAGCTTCATTCATTTTACATTTTTAAAAAATGAAATAAATTAACAGAAGTTACTAAGGATTTACTGCAATTTAAAGTACTAAGTGGCCAAATATGTGCAATATATGCCAATGTCATAGTTATATATTTAAACTTGTTCTTCTGAGTTTGTATCCTTATGGTTGAAATGTACTTATTGTAAGTCACTTTGGATAAAAGCGTCAGCTAAACTTATCTTCTGTGCAGAGTCTTGCTACCATTCTGCAAACACCTCTTCATCCCAGATGATCTCACTCCCGCCTGCAGAACCCACCTGAAAGAACTGGCCAGAAAAAGTAGGAGTCATTTATAGAAAGGAGATCATGAAAGTTATTGTCATCTGCATGTTTTCACAAAACACCAACATATATGTATATATCTTTCAGGTTTATTTAAGGTCATCAACATTGGCGCAGCCCATATTGCCGATTACACAAGGAGGTATTTGCCACAGGACTGGAAGCAGATGAAGACAGGGCTTGTCACCTGGGACATCCGCCGCAGCCAACATCCGCCTTTAGACTGGCTCCAAGATTTCTGGAAATTTCTCAACACGCACTTCAAAGAGTTAAGTGGTTTCACTGGAATGCCATTAATACCAGTCAGTCCCCTGTCTGCCAGTCAGCCTGTATCACTTGCAAGACTGGAAAAGAAAACAACCCTCATATTTCAGAAAAGCAAGCAGATGAACTTGCCAGAACAAATAACTCAGTTACTGAGCAAAGTTGGTGGGACAGTGGTGAGAGGAAACGATTGGCTCACACACAAAGACCTTGACTCGTATGTGCTGTGCCCATCTCCAAAGACTGTCATGAAAGTCTTGGCAAACTTAGATTCTCAGGTTATCATCAGAGAATTCAAAACTGCTTCTTACAAAGCACGAGAAGAACTGAAAGATTATCTCTCTCACCTTGACTCTCAAATGGATTCTCTCTCCAAGGCTGAGAAAGATCTACTCTCCCAGTTGCCTCTGTTTCAGACCATGAAAGGTGCCTGTGTTGCAGCTCAATCAAAACAGGCTGTGCTTCTCATTTCTGGTCTAACAGTACCAGCAGAGTTCCCCATGCCCGATTCTGTTGTGCAGTGTGCAACTGAGGCTGATCGCAGACTGTTACAGCTGCTGAAGGTTAATCTCTTGAACACTGCTGAAGCGACCAATCTCCTCCTTGATTGTATCGAGAGGGGGGCTTTCAAAAAGCAAGACACTGAGAACATTATGACTTGGATTTTACAACACGGTGATAACCTTTTCCCTCAAAATCGGACCTTGAAACTCAGATGTAAGGCCTTGAGCTTCATGGAGGTGAATGGAAAGCCAAGAAACACTTCAAGCTTTTTTGATCCAAGAATTGAAAACTTCAAAGTCATTTTTGATTCAGAATTCTTCCCCCCACCCTCATACACTCGCACACCGCAGATGCTTCAAAGCCTGATAGATCTCGGATTGCTATGTAAAGAAGTCGACGTGTCACCTGAGCACTTGCTACAAGCTGCCACACTGATTGATGGACTTCATGCTGATTCTCAAACTGAAGCTCTCAAGAGAGCTCAGGTGCTCTTGAAGATGTTGGATACCAATGATCTACTCACAAAGTTTTCTGCTCAACAGCTTCATCAGCTCAAGAGGCTAAAATGGATCCCATGTCCTGATCTTGGTAATAACCACAATAATGACGGATTTCAGACAAGTTTTTTCTGTCCGGATGAAATAAGACATTCTGTGTACAAAGACATTGTTGGACATGTGATGCCCCTGGTGGGAAAGTTCAGTGACAGAGTGAGCAGCCAACTTGGTCTTAAGCGCCAGCCCCCGCCGGAAAAAGTAGTCGATAATTTGTCGGTCCTGACATCAAAGGCAAAGAAAATGGTGGACCCTGACACAAATGTGGTTTTCAAAAGGGAATTGCATAGCATCTACAAACACATGCAGGATCACATCTCAGAATTTTCAACATTGATGAACAGGGACACTCCCTGGCTGTGGAACCACCAGCAGTTTGTTTCCCTTCAGGATCTGGTTCTAGACTACCCACCCAATCTCGATCTGAGCTCTTACATCGGGAAGGTGCCAAATGAATTTCGGCCATACAAGAACTTGTTCCGGAAGTTCGGCCTGAGAATGTTGCTTTCAGATAAAGAAGTTATTGGTATTCTTTATTCGATCCAGCAAACCATTGAACAAAGGCAACAACCATTTGCAAATTCCTCTGAGGTAAAAGTGTCAATAGAAATCCTTAACTGGCTGTGGAGAGAGAAGAAGAAAGTTGAGGATGACATCCCAGTTCCAGTTCTCATAGAGGATGAACAACATACTCTGAAACCCCTGTCAACCGCAGTCTTCTGTGATGTCAGCAAAAATGGGTTGAAAGGGCTAAAGTATAGCCAAGAGGAAATTCATGTTGTTCATGAAGAAATCCCAAGAGCTGCTGCTGAATGGTTTGACATTCGATTTCTCAGTACGCATATCCTTGATCCAGAGTTGGTGGGAATAGAACAGTGTGGACAATCTGAACCCATAACAATAAGGATAAAAAACATTCTCAAAGAGTATGACGAAGACAGTGACATCTTCAAAGAGCTCATTCAAAATGCAGAGGATGCTGGGGCCAAAGCCTGCAAGTTCTTGGTGGATTTCAGAGTACACAAAGACAGTCCTGAAAGTCTCATTGACCCTGACATGACTCTTTGTCAAGGACCTTGCCTTTGGGCATTTAATAATGAGCAGTTCACAGCTGAGGATTGGAAAAATATTGTTAGAGTCGGTTCTGCCTCGAAGGAAAACAAAATGGAAAAAATTGGAAAGTTTGGACTTGGATTCAATACCGTGTACCATGTGACCGATGTTCCTTCGATCCTCAGTGGCAACAGTCTTCTCATACTTGATCCAAATGTGACACACCTCAAGAAGCACATAAAAGTAAACACAAATCCTGGAATCAAGCTGGATCTCTCTCAGAAACGACTTTTTCATTGTTTTCCTGGTCAGTTTGGACCATATGAGCGCATTTTTGATTGTAATTTCAAGAGGGACGGTCCCACTGAGCCCTATGCAGGCACTCTGTTTAGACTTCCTTTCAGAACTGAAGAAGAGGCTTCCAAGTCAGAAATAAGTTCAAAGGTGTATCACAAACACAATATCTTCACTTTTCAACAGCACTTTACAAACAATTCACAAACACACCTGTTGTTTTTGAAGAACATCGATACATTGTCGCTACAGCGTATCTCAAACAATGTATCAACTCCTCCAAGAGATGACGAAATAGAAACCATCCTGACTGTCTCCAAAACCACTCTGAGTAAAAATCAGATTCCTGATGAATATGTCTTTCAGCCAAAGCAACGTGAAGCTGAGAAATTACTGATGAAACTCGATGGAAAATGCAAAGAAGTCATTGACTGTGGCAAGGTCAACCTTGTCAAAATATCTAGTCAGCAATCTGGTGTAACTGAAGTCCAGCTGTGGCTCCATTACAGCTGCTTTGGGACAAATCAGTCGTTGCAAATGGCTCTGGAAGAAAATAAGCAAGCCAGGTTCTCTTTGCCCATTGGTGGGATTGCTGTGCCTTTGCAACAGGACCCAGACACTAGGAAACTGGCCCCGTTGCAGACGGATCTAGTTGGACAGGCCTTTTGCTTCCTCCCTCTTTCTGTTCACACAGGTCTTCCAGTCAATGTAAATGGTACTTTTGCCGTGACGAGTAACCGAAAAGGACTCTGGGAGAGTGGGCTGAAACACAACTGGAACAAAGCCCTTCTTCAGGATCCCGTAGTGACGGCGTATGTTACTGCACTTTTGGCACTAAAGAAAATGTGTGAAAACAAAAAACTGGACCAATACTGTTATCACACATTTTGGCCTGATAGAGAGAAAGTGAGTGAAACCTTCAAGCCTTTGGTTGATGCATTGTACGCCACCATTGCTCAGCACCCTCATGGCCTGGAGCTCTTTAGTGATGGAGAATATTGGTGCTCAATTAACACCGCCATTTTTCTACATGAGAGCATCGAAGAGAATAAGGACATCGGTGCACTTGCTATGCAGGTATACAAGAAACATGCTAAATCACAGAGCCGCGTTGTTCCTCTTCCACTGTGGTTGAGAAATGGCTTCAAAAAGTGTGGCCTCAAGGACGTTTTACAGAAGAGAACATTGAACTGGGAGACGTTTTACCAAGAAGTAGTGTTTTCCAACCTTAGTACCATGGATCCTAAGAGCAGAGATACTCTTGTGCTGCACGCTATTGACCTAAATAACAAAGACATTGACAAACTACTGCTGCGTTATCCATGCATTCCCACAAAAGCCGGACAACTCCAGCTCATCAAGAAACTTGTGAATCCATCAGGGAGAGTATCCCCTCTTTTTGAAACGGACAAGGGACGCCTGCTTGGGGGTACCAAAAATGACTTCTGCTCTCCTAAAAGGATTCAACGTTTGTTGGAACTTGGAATGGCAAATGATAATCTCCCACTGGAAGACATCATGCAGAAAGCAGGCACAATCTCCAAAACCTGGAGCACAGACAAAAGGAAGGCGTATGAGCATTTGAATTGCCTCATCGAACTCATGAAGAGTCACACAAATGACAAAGATTGTCCCCACTGGGAAACACTGAGAATGACTGAATTTCTCCCAGCGTTCTCCCCCGGGGACACCAAAATGAAAAGAAACGTAACATTTCAAAAACCCACTGATCTTTTTACTGGCAAATGCTCCCCACTTGTGAACATGACACAGCATGTGCTCGATCAAGACAATCTCAAAATACACAACGCTGATCCAGTCCTGCAACTTTTGGGAGTTCACGACAGCCCAAGTCCTGTCGAGGTGCTTCAGCAGCTGCAAGAAGCATGTCAGCAATTTGAATCCATAGACGCATCCATGCTTCACAAAATAGCATCGGAGTGCTATAAGTTCCTGAATCAGTGGCTCAGTGATTCTGGGGATTCCACTTTCATTTCACAGAGGGCAAATTCATTCCCATTCGTTCTTGTTGGCAGTACATTTGTAAATGTGAACTGTGTAGCTGAAAATGGGCAATTTGAAGCAAAACCATATCTCTACGTTCTTCCAACTGCCTTCAATGATTTCAGGAGGCTCTGGGAAAGTGTAGGTGTTGAAAAATGTTTCACAACCAGTCAGTTTCAAAGTGTGCTCCAGGAGGTGCATTTCCAAAATGGTAACAAGCCCTTGCCAAAGAGTGATCTAACAATTTGCCTGAAAATTCTCAAAGAAGGAATATTTGAGGAAGACGCCTCAACTATTGACCATCTCATACCAAACCAACACAGTGTTTTACAACGTGCCAGTGAAATATTTTACAATGACAGCCCATGGATACCAGTCGATCCTGATGTCACATTATGTCACGAGCTTCTCCCTCGTGTTGTGGCACGCTACTTTGGAATCAAAACTACCAAGCACCATACCCTCGAAAACTCCCGAGATGAGGACTTTTCACCATTTTCTTTTCCATTTAAACAGCAGGAAGAACTAACTGTTCGAATTAAAAACATAATTTCCGCCTATCCAAAAAAGAAGGATATCCTTAAAGAGCTTATTCAAAATGCTGATGATGCAGAGGCAACAGAAATTCACTTTGTTTGGGACAAAAGACATCATGGAGACAAAAAAACTTTTGGGAAGAAATGGAATCAGCTTCAGGGTCCAGCACTGTGCGTTTTCAACAACAAGGTGTTTTCAAAAGATGACCTGCACGGCATTCAACAGCTGGGAGAAGGAGGAAAACACAACTCTCCAGGGAAGATAGGCAAATACGGAATAGGATTCAACTCTGTTTACCATCTGACTGACTGCCCCTCGATCCTCACTGGAGATGAAAAACTCTGCATTTCTGATCCCAATCAGGAATATATTGAAAGTTCTTCAGGCATACCACCAGCTGGCACTGGCTATAAGCTAGTTGACACTTTCAAGAACATGTACATGGATGTCTACAATTCTTTTCTTCCAGACCAATTTCCTCTTAAAGAAGGCACCATGTTCAGATTACCTCTACGGATGGGTACCATGGCAAACTCCTCTAAAATTTCCCAGAAGGGGGTCACTGACGAGGATTTGGAAGAACTGTGCTCTGCTCTCGCTGAAGATCCCGAAGGACTCATTCTGTTTCTGAAAAACATCTGCAAAATAAAATTCCATGAAATCAACGACAATTCAGGGCAACTTAAAACCCTGTTTGAGGTGAATAAAACTGTACCAGAGGAATGCAAAGGAAAAAAAGAGGCTTTTGTAAAACGTCAACAAAATGCACTGCAATCAGACAAAGCAACAATAGCAGAACAACTGATTTATAGAACCTTGATTTCAACCTCTAAGAAAAGACAAACTGGATGGATCATTGCGGAACAGTTTGGCTCATTTAAAAACGTTGGTAAAACAGAGCCAACACAACACGTCAAGCTACCCCAAGTAGCCATAGCAGCGCGTGTGAGCTTAAAGATGGGCATAAGTTCAGTTGGAGAATTATCCAGCTCTGTGAACTTTATTGGACAAGCCTTTTGTTCACTTCCTTTGCCTGGGGAAACTGGACTGCCAGTGCATGTCAATGCAAACTTTGAGGTAGATTCTGCAAGAAAAAACTTTTGGACAGAAGATGGGCAGAGTATTAAATCTAACTGGAATGAATCTTTGAGACAGAATGTCATTGCTCCACTGTATGGAGATCTCCTTCATTACATGAGCTGTGCCATGGCTAAAAAGAAAATCACTTTTGAACAGATTGAGTCAGACTACGTATGTTTTTGGCCAACAGTGTCCACTGGTGTTAAACAAGATTGGCATGAAATGATCCATGAGGTATACAGATCAATCAAAGAAAGAGGCCTCAATGTGATTCCAGTGATGCGACGTTCCACACAAATAATTGCAGGCAAAACATTCCCGCGGTACTCCTTTGACTGGTGTAACGTCAGAGAAACTGACACAACTACGGTACCTTACCTGACACATACAAGAAACGCCACAAGAGATGAGATCGATCACATTTTGGAAGATCTTGGAATGACTTTGATTCCGTCATCCATGCAACCGGTTTGGAACAGTTTCCGATCCGCTGCCATTGAAGTGAAAGAAGTGAATCCTTTAACTGTCAGGACTTTCCTGAGAGAAAAACCCCTCAATGATCCAACCCAGACTCATCAGCAATTACCGTTGCCCATAACTGCCACTTTGATCAGAAATAAAAAACGATTTTCACAGCTCTTGAGTTTCTGCTTGAAAGATTTGGACTCAAAAAAGGTCACCAAGGACATCTCCAGTTCCTTCAATGGGCTCCCACTGCTTCTAACGAGCGATAAGGTTTTGAGAGTGTTTAACTCTGAGTCTCCCAAGCTGATATCAACATATGACAGTCTGTTCCTTGGCTACGAGGCCCAATTTGCAGATTTTCAGTCCAACCATGAGCACATTTCTGCTCTAAAAGGTTTAAGCCTAGTCGAGAGTTTGACGGTTCCCAGTGCAGTGGAATATCTGAAGCCATTAATTCAGCTGCTTCTCCAGAAATGCGAAGTTGATCCACACAGTGGACTTCATGTCCCGAACAAGTCCACGTTGGAGTGGTTGAAGTCACTTTGGAAGTTCTTAATGAGTGAAATGAAATCATCTAGTTTCTTTCCACTCAGTGATAAACAAAGCCTGACAATGAGTGAGGTAAGGCAACTCTTCAATAACTGCTGCATTTTACCTGTTGTCTGTCCAAGGGGAAACAACAAGCTCCTCTTGCAAACAGTGAAAAAAATGCCAAGTGTAATCCAGTTTGCTTCAGAAAAAGACTTATCAGGGATCCTCTTTAAACTTGGGTTTATGAAGCTTAACGTGTTATTCTTCACAGAGTATATAGACAGAGAGATTCTTTCACTTCTATGCTCTCAACTTCTGGATGTGAAAGATCAAAGCTCTGTGTTGGACCAGGTCGTCAACATTGACCACTCAGAGTTTTCCAAGCTTTCTCCTGAAGAGATGAACGAGCTTCAGCGTTTCCTGCAGTCTGGAGTGTCAAGGTCCGAAGACAAACAAGAGTATAAAAAAAAACTCAAGTCATTGCCATTATTTGAAACAGTCCATGGTAACAGAGTGAGGATTGATGGGCCCAGAGAGGTATTCATCTTCAACAGCCTGTATTCAAAGGAATTTCCCGAATTGTTCAAGTTGTCCAACAACATTTTTCTACGACATAATCCAGAGAACTCCAGTCTGTCACAAGCATTGAACATCAAAACCCTGACAGATTTGGACTATTTCATGAAGTTCATTCTGCCGTTTGTACACGGACTGACAGAGATGCAAATGTTCCAATGCCTCAAACTGTTGCTGTCACCATTGTTACTCCTGTATGACATTGAGCATGAGAATCGTCTCCTCATCATCTCCTCAATGAAGACAGTGAAATGTATTCCCGATTGTCAAGGCAGATTGGAGACGGCATCGTACTACTTTGATAAGAGTGTCCCGCTATACGAGAAAATGTTGCCCCAAGAGAGATTTGTGCCTGACAGGTTTTGGACTGAGCTATGTGAAGGATATCAGCAAAAAGAAAATGCAAAAAAGTTACTCAGAGACCTTGGGATGAAGCATGCTGTGTCAACAGATGACATAATCAATTTTGCGCGACAGCTAGAATCAGAAGCAAAAGGAAACGATCCACTTAAAGAGTTGAAAAATAAATCGTCACTAATTTTAAAAGCAGCCTTGTCCATTGTGAGTGATGACCAAGGCAAAGAGGAAAGGTTGCTGGAGCGCATCGCAGACATTAAGTTCATCTTTCCTGTGAAAATTCAAGAAGAGCTGTGCAAATATCACCAACCATTTGCTGGGGAGAGAACTGCTGTTGGAATAAGAGGATCTTTGATAGAAAGCGATCAAAAGCAAAATTGATTTGGTCATCGATGCCAATCATACAGGTCCCGTGTTATAAGTCAAAGAAGCTCCTGAAAATGCTGGAAAATGCTGGAGCGCTTGAACAACCACCTTCACACTGTGTAACCACGAACATGAGCAACATCTGTCAGTCGCCATGTGAAACTGACCAGTTGATCAGAACCCGCGCTAAGGTGTTCCGAAGTGCGTATACCCATCTGCAAGCCAGCGGGATTGAGGGACAACCATTGGCTGGTCTTCCAGTTGTGTTGGTTGAAAAAGACAAAGGGCTTGAGAGGAGTGATGTTGTGTCTTTTTCACTCCCTCATGACAGTGAGTTCAGACCGTATTTCTACAAAATTTCTCCGAAGGATGTCATGTTTCAAGAGTTCTTTAAAAAAATTGGTGTAAATGACCATCCTACTGCAGCTCAGTATTGTAATGTTCTGGCAGCAGTTTATGCCGATTCCTGTGATAAGCAACAACTGAACCCAAACCAACTGGAAACCGTGAAACGTGCCGTTGAGCAGTTTTTCACATTACTCAAAACTGAAGGAAAACCGTCCCTTGATGATGTAAAGGCTTTGTATCTTCCTGCAGTAGATGGTAAATTGAACCCATCCTCCACTCTCTACTACAATGACACAGTGTTTGAGATTAAAAGGTTGGAAGAAGCGCTCGAGAATAAGTTCCTGTTGCTCGAGAAACTCAGTGAATGTCATTTGGACAGCGACAGATATGAGAACCTTCGATTGCTACAGTTGCTGCCTCAGAATGTGATGCCTAAAATGCTGTCTCAAGTCACTGAGGAGAAATTAGTGGAATCACATGTGCAGCTTTGTGAGCTTGAAATGGAATGCGAATTTAGTCGATGGTTTGAAGACCATCTGTCCTCTGCAGCGTTTACATATGGACTAATTTGCCTGATCAGAGACCAGTCTCAGGGAGAAAAAACACAAGAGGAAGCCAATGCCATGTGCAAGAAGACTTTTGGCAGTATTAAGATTGTTTGCTGCAGAAGTCTGAAAACAAAGCTTTGGGTGGATGGACAACCGCTGGACAAAACTGACACGGAAACCGATGTTTTTGTCAAAAAAGACCAACAAGATTGCTTTTTTTTCTTGAAACATAATGATGCCATGGAAGTCATGGTGATAGGTGACATCAATATGACATTGGCAGGAGAGATAAATGTCCTTTTAGGTAACATAATGGGATCAATTCACCTCCGAGTCCTTGGGCAACTTCTCACATGTGGCAGTCATCAAGATGTTCAGAAATGTTTGGCTAAGAATGGGATCCTTGACAGTGCTGAAGCTGAAAGTGTTCTTAATCCACCAGCCCCTGGATCAGAAATTCCAGAAGAATGGGTCGACTCCTTAGACATGGGCATCCTTAATAACTTTGAAGAGGGGGAATATGTTGGCTACAATACTAACGACAAGTACGTTTATGCAGTTGTTGTGGAAGAACTGTCTGGGCACTGTGGGATCTATACACAAAGATACAAAATAGAAATTGGAGAAGATGAGCCGATTGAAGTCAGTTGTCTTGACATGTATCAGTTTAAACGACCAAAGAAGGCGCAACCTGGACGGAGGAGTTGCACATCTGCTGAAGCTTCTTGCATGGACTTGGTGCCCTTAGCAGGAGCTGTGCCTCATTCTTCCAAACCATCAGCTGCAAGTTCATCATCCACAAGATCCTCACCAGCATCCGTTGACGAAGCCAAAAGAGAAATTGACAAATGCTTGGAAGATATCTGGACTCTTCCGCAGGAGGAGAGGCTTAAAGCTATCAAACGACTGTACCTCAGATGGCATCCTGACAAAAACCCAGACTGCCCACATCTCGCCACTGAGGCATTCAAATACCTAAATAATCGAATTGAGGAGCTAAAGAACGGCAAAGGCAAAGGAAAAACTGCAGGCTCGACCCACTCGAGCAGAAGCTCAAATTTCAGCCACTTCTATGAGCAATGGGAGAAGGAGGCCAGGCAACACAGAAATAGTCGAGAGAGATTCTCCAGAACCAACAATTCCTACAACTTTTGGACCCATAACGAAAATGTCCCGAGGCCAAACAAAGAGGAGGCCCAGCGCTGGTGCCGACAAGCCCGGTGCGATCTCAACGCAGCTCACAATGACATTGGCAGGGCGAGCACAGAGTGGTGTCTGTTCAAGATCCACCAGGCGGTGGAAAAGGCGCTCATAGCTGCGCATTACAAAAGAGACGGTCAACATCCCACCAGCACCTCCATTTCGGCCCTCGCTCAGGGGGTTTCGCTCTACAACCTTCAGCTGAGAGTTCTGCCGCAAATGGTCGCCAAGCTGAAGACTCTGGGAGTCGACGCCAAAAAGACTCAGTATCCAAAATATCATCCAGCCCCCCATATTCCCAATGAGCAGTTTGAATCAGAGAATGAAATGGCAGCAGTGAATCAGGCATCTGAGCTCCTTGGGGAAATAGAGGCATATGTGAATTAGGGATCAACAGACGTTTGCAGAGTCGATTGCTGATGTTCCGATATTGACACATTACTAAAAACAAAATGTCACTATTATGTTGAGAATTCTGAAACGAAAGATGTATTCTTTTTTGTGAGCCTTTACTGTAGTAAAACCAGTTTATATATCAATATGTATAACATGATCTTTGATTATTTCATTCATTACAGTTGACAGGACCAATATAATGACTTTTTTTTCAACGTTATGTTTAAATACTCATTGAGTACCAGTTTAATCACTGTATGACCTTGTTATGAAAATTGAAATCTGTCAGTGTATTCTTTTTTGCCACGCTATAATTTTTTTACTCTTTTAGATCACTGTACAAAAAGGTTATGAAAACTAAAATATGAAAGTATGTTGTTTTATAAACTCTTTAAGGATCCATTTATTAATTTGTTAAAATTTGGGAGCAATATTTTTTAATATTATTTTGCATAAAATATTTTAAGATATTAAAGTTTAATTTGGCAATGTTATGTATAACTACGTATTATCAATTTATAGACTGCGCAAATTTCTCATTGAGTACCAATATAATCTGTAGACCTTGTAAAGAAAATAAATATATTTTTACTGCAATTTTGTAATTTCTAACTTCTCATTTAGGAACAATATAATCCCTGTATGACTTTGTTATGAAGATATGAGAGTTGTTTTGCAATGTTATCACTTAGAACTATTGAGGACCAATATAATCGCTATACAACTTTGCAATTCTTTTGATTACCTTGAATGATTTAAACACGTAGAACTGTATCATCTCTGTATGATTTTTTTTTCCCTTATTGGTTTCTTTAAATTTAACCTGCTGATTTCCATTGGCACATAAAGAAAGTTGTCTTTAAAAATAAAAAAATGAAATTGAATATTATGGTTTTTTATTATTTGTTTGTTATCAAATTCTCCCCTTAACTCACTTCTGTAGACATCAGTCACACCTGTTTTCTTATATTACTCACATCACATATTAAACTGTGAAACTTCCAATAGTATAAGATATCATTAAATATGTAGGCTATCATGTTTACTTTATACTATGAATATAGTAATAAGGTAAAATGCAAATGTAATAAATAATAAATATAAATGTAATGTAGAATCTGTAAAAGTTGCTCTGCTTCTTGTGCCACAAATCGTAAAACTGAGGTTGTGGTAATATATTTATATTGAGCTGTAAACCTTTGCAGAAGATTTAAATTATTTTGGCTGATTAGCTGATCTCATGAACTCTTGTTTGCTTATTTGATAATGGATTATACCCCAAAAATTGGGGGTTGGTGTGCACACAAGCCAGATTTGAAATTTGAAATGCGTCTTCACTACAACCTTAGATTCTCAGATTGTGAATTTAGATTCATGAAGAAAAAAAACAAAACTTATTTGACACATGAATGCTCAGTGAAGACAAACATTTCAAGTCAAAAGCACTTATTTATTCATTAAGAAATCAGGTTATGAAAATAATGACAACTAACCATGTATCAGACAAATGCACCTTTTCATGTGTTAACAACCAAAGTTTGCTCTGGACTGTGTGACCACTCGGCCGTCACTACAGCGTAACCGTGCTCTCCTTGTGCTTCGCCTCATCACCAAAGTTCCCACTGCTCTTTCTTACTATAAAAATGTTGACAAGGCTTTTTCATGTCTCATCCCAAAGTCCGCATGAGAATAAAGTTTAAAATCATGTTTGTCTGTGAGGGAGAAGTTCACACGTATATAACATTCAGTCTTTGTGTTATGCTTCCTCTCATCTGTTCATAATTTACATAAAACCTGTACATACTTACAGCGGGCCGCAGCCCGTTTCTGAAGGGATGTGCATGTAGAGAAAAGAAGCAACAGTGGAGTGAATCTTTGCAAAGTAAACGCGGTAAGGTGGGAGGTCAAAGTGTTACTAGCATATTAGACACTTGCCTTCATATGGTACATGCAACATTTTCCCAACTCCCATTTCGACCTTACGGCACTCGATGTGCGGCTATAACATTCTGCTTCACACCTACACCGGCTGCCATCCGTCATAGACTTCTGCTATGAAACACAACGACGAACATTTATGGAGTGAGTGTGTTTGTAGTGGCTGAAGTTATGATCAAGTTTATCCATCTTGTCCAAAAAGATGGAAGGACTTTGGGTGCAATAAGAGCAGGGTTTATCATACCTTAAGCTCCCTCTGCATGTCTATTTCTTTCCAAGCTGATAAAGTTCACAAAACGGGTGCTGGAGAAGGACCAGGCGTCTGAAAAAACACTTAAGGCTTAATTCATATCATTTGGCACGTTGCTAATAGAGAGCAACGATTATTATTCCTCGCCATGTCAAGACTTTGAACAAATGGCACTTATTGTCTGCAGTCATTCAAAATTCTTCTTTCACATCACTCATATTGCATTTTGTTCAGATAAAACAATAACTATGTCACACATTTTAGATTTAGTAAGGTCTAAAAAAAAGTAAGTAAGTCAAACCATATTATTTTTACACGTCCTGTTACGGACACCATGAACTAAAGTACCACCTCCTGGGTGAGTAACAAATCACACCAACTTTGTCGATCCAATAACATGATCTGAAAACAAATATATATATATATATATATATATAGGTTTACTTCAGGGTGCAGCCACAATCTGAAGAGCTGCTCCCACAGAGGAAATGACAACATACGTGGGACAAACTTTTCTGACCTGCAATGGCACAGGGGGATCCGTTTGAGCTGGTTTTGAACCAGGGTTTGGGTCCTGGTGTCAGTCCGGCTCTATGGCACAAGGGTATAGCAGATACAACTAACATTCATAGTATTGGAGATCGACAAAGTAAGTTGTCAGGCGCCTTATCGTACATACAGACGAAACTCTCTTCTCCAATTTTCTGAGGCTGGAAATACTGGGGAGAAAAAATAACAGTGTTTTTAGTCCATGTTGTTTCTCCCGGTGTTTCTTTCCATTTTGCTGTGAAGTTTTGCATCCACGTTTCTTTCATATTTCCCGTCTTTGAGCAAGAAAGGAGAGCTTTTTTTTCTTTTCGCAGAAGGCGAGGGGACGGATCCCGGACCTGCAACAATTCTGGGCTCCCACATTCTCCTTGTGCGATGATTCACGTTGCAGGCTCCCCTTCCCGCAGCACGGCCCTCACATGTTGTAAGCCACGTATATGGGGTCCAGCTGGTCGGCCAGGAATCCGTCTCTGAGGTGCATGCGTTGCTTCTCCCCTCTGGAGTTGATGGGGATGACGCCGGGGTCGACCACCACCACCACTCCTACGATGAGGTAGTGCTCCTCCAGGACAACGTTGGTGACCAGGGCCACCAGGTCCAGGGCCTCCTGCTCCGACCCCTCAAGCTCCACCACCACCACGAGGAGGTTGGTCCAAGTGAACACCGCACTGGAAGGAGGGAGGGAGTAGGAGGAGCGGCGTGCATGGAAAGGAAGGAAAAGGCGAGACAAATAAAAACAACAGATAAGGAGACGTAAGGGAGGAAGAGGAAAGTAAGTAGTCAGGATTCACGTTGCTCAACTGTATTTTCAATATAAAATGAATACCCGTCTTTCAACCAAATGAATGATTTAAACTAGACAGTGAAACAAGTATTAATGTAATTTTCTCACCATTCAGCTATGCTCTTGTGAGAACGTATGACGGAGGTCTCGATGTCAATCGGGTGATACCTCATTCCTCTCAACTCCAGAGTCTCATCGAGAGAGCCCACCACGTAGAGGGCGTCGTGGCGCTCTGAGACGGGCACGCAAACACGCAGAGTCAAAGACGTACAGTGTCCATTTGAGATAGGAAGGCAGCAAACATCATTACTTAGCCAGAGTGCTAAAATCACAGTACGAATCCAGCTCACATCAAAAGAAACAAACTGAGCGAGCGCTGTTGATTCTCACCTCCACTCGCATCCGTCAGCTCGGTGCGCCGCAGGAAGCCCAGGTAGCCCGTCCTCGCCCAGACGGTCTGCGTGTCGCCAAAGCTGAGCTTGGTGTTGAAGTGGTCAGCGTGCAGGGCCTCCTCCCCGTAGACTGTGTAGTAGCCTGTGGCATTGTGAGGACTGCTCACCCAGACCTATTACACACACACACACACACACACACACACACACACACACACACACACACACACACACACACACACACACACACACACACACACACACACACACACACACACACACACACAGTAATGATCATACAAATCTGATTGCTCTTTTGCTAAAAGTAATGGATCTAAAAAGAGAAAAATGTATTCACTGGTGTTCTGATCTGATAAGAAATGATTGCATATTGTGTTGTTAGTTTTCTGCTTTAAAAACTTGACTTGTGGAAGACAGGTGGTTATAATTTTTTAATCCGATTACAGATATTCTGGTTGCTTCTGTGCTACGTTTTAGAGATCAGTTTCAGCAGATGGTCCGTTGCAACCTGATAACAAGAGCACATAAAGTGTGGGCCAGAACCAGCAGGAACAGGTGACAGGCGAACATTCGGCTGATCTTGTGGTTACCTCTCCTAGATGGGAGTCTCCCAAGGGTCCTTTGGTCTCTGTGTTGGCAATGATGACCTTCACTCCTGGGAGGATCTACAACAACAGACAAACATGATATCTTAAAACCTCAGCTGAAGGCAAACCACTGGCATCATAAGGTCACAGTTAATTTGTTGTGTTTTAGTTTGTTCACATGATGGCGTACCTTCCCAGACTCCATCAGTGGCAAGCTGTGGGGCGACCCTCTCTCTACCAAGCGTACCCTGAAGAAAAAAAAGGACCAAAGGAGCAATTTCATATCTCCATTTTTATTCCATCTCATCACAATGAGACAAAAAGTCAACACTGTTCAATTTAAGGTTTGAAGAATGTATTCATATTCAAAGCCACCTATCGTGTCGCAGAGCTCTCATGTCAACATAAACGGTGGTGGGGTCGGGTCCGGCTGTGCCCTGGAGAAAAACAAGCAGAGAGCAACATGAGATGAGAATGCAACTCCTGCAGCCCTGAACATGAATGCTGTATGCTCAGTGGAGGGGAGGTGGAAGCTACTTATGATACAACAGTGTCATACAAAGCAGGGGGGGGGGGCAGCCAGAAGCAACCGGGATACAATAGTTTTATAGACTTCCTGCAACTCAACCGTGGAGTCGGCGATACACAGGTACATTGCAAGTACCAGCAAGTTAAATCCCAAGGTGAATTGATTCCTCGGGTATTGATTCCTTCGGCTTTTGGATTTGTCATCGTCACTAAGACTAGTGTTACTTATGCTTTGCATCCCTCGTTCTCCAGAGTGCAGCACAAGTCGCCGTATGGTCATCCGTGAGGTCAAAGCCACGCAAAACACGCAGATTGACTTTGTCGAGCAAAGCTTAGGCTGTAAGTATTAGGAAGACATCAAGGAGACTCGAGCCATTAGTCTTTGCCAAACAAATCAAATGAGTTTCTCTCACTAGATGACTCACTTAAGCCACTAGCACTCACGCAAGAACTAAGCGTGGTAATTTGTCTTTAATAAAAGACAAATTACCACGCTTAGTCTTTAATAAAAGACAAATTAACTAAAAAAACAAAGCGCTTTATAAAGGGGTATAAAGATCTTAGGGTTGGACATGACATTCCACAATGATCTCAATCGGAGCGCAGTTAATGCTGCGAGCTTGTAGAATGACGTAGTAGCGCATCACACATAACGTGTCTCAAGGCTTTGGTTGAGAGTCAGCTGGATAAAATTAGTAGCTGTAAAGTAGAGCCCAAGCTCGTCTGAGATATAAAACAAAGCATAAATGAGGAGAAAAATCTGTGAATGAAGGTTAAATCTTCAAAATTCATGCAACACTCACATGGAAAACACAAAAACAGACAGACACACACACACACACACACACACAGACCCTGCAGCAGCCAAACAAATAAACAGCAACCCTTATCCTGCGGTTACCTGCTCAGCCAGTTTCCCTAACCTGTTGGGCTGACGGGACAACGCAGGACAGATACATGAATATAAATATTTATAGACTTTGATTCACATGCACACAGACACACGCACACTCACACGCTCACAAAATATCCAGGGATCGTAGAAACATACAAAACAGAAACAATATTGTTTGACCCAGAAGCAACTCGCTTGGTGTTTTTATCATCATTGAAAATTCTATTAAATATAAAGTTGAACTCATTTCCCTCCACCTCAAATTAGTTGGTCAAATGACATCAACATTCACTCTGTGTACTCCTTCTTTTCTCAAAGATTTGCTTTCTTTTTTTAAGAAGAGTTTTGCCGCACGGGCTGTGTACTTCTTTCCTCCTCCTTTCCTCCACATCCTCCTCCTCCTCCCAGCTTACCTGCAAACAGACGGCCACGTTCACCCTGCAGCCGAAGGTGGTGCTGACGGCGCGTGGTGAGAGCCCCAAGTCCTTGAAGATCTTTGAGAAGGACTGAGTGAGCGCTATGCGGGGCCTCTCCTCGGCCACCACCATGCATGTACGCACGCACGACAGGTTCACATTCCGCAACTGGAGATGGAAGAAAAGAAGAAGTTTGATCGGCAGCAACTAAAAAAAATTAAGACATAGTGTGTATATGTATTATAATGATGTCACATCCTTTCTAAAGTTACAAAGACGACTGAGGGTGCATGTGAACTGGGACCCGACGAGAGAATTTATTCAGATAATCTAACTTCGATTCTGCTCATTAAACCACAGACATGATTCGTAAAAATTACAGTCTCAAGTGGTGCAGTCAGTACAGATACAAGGGATTGTTCCAGCGCTCAGGACCATGTGTTGATAATCACAGCCCTGTGGCAGGAGCCCCTCTGGGAAACGGACTAATTGAAGAAGAAAAAACCCCTTGAAGATCCCAGAAGAAAAGGCTGCAGCTTGTAGTGCAGCACTGGACACCGGAGGAGACAAACTGACCCGCAGCGCTTCAGTCTGTGAACCCAGGCCCTTGGTGCACATCTCCATGACCGAATACGAGCAGAAGGTGACGCGCACTTTGTACTGGCTGACTGCGGCGAGCCACAGAGACGCGTTGCTCTCCAGCTCCAGAGGGGGGACCAGGATGGACTGGTGGCCCGAGTACAAACTGAAACCAGAAACACACACACACACACACACACACACACACACACACACACACACACACACACACACACAGACACAGACAGAAAGGCTGAGTGGGACGACAGAGAGAAAATACGACCGGCACAGGTCAGATCGTTCGTTTGTTCAGAGGTGCTGGTTTACCTGCACAGGCACCAGAGAGCGAAGCCCAGGCCGCAGTAGGGGTCCAGGCAGATGGCGATCTGCCGGGAGGGGTAGAGCTCACACTGCAGTTTGATGGAGCGACACAAGGCACTGGTGGCAGAGTGAGACATCTGGACGTGACACGCAGAGACAAGAGCGATGCATCAAAACTAGATTCTTAGGTAGAATGAAACCTTACAAACACGCTTTTGAACAGCGTCTGAACAGACACATTGTATTACCGATGGACACCTCAGCAGTGTGTGAATGTTTCTGACCAAACCACTCGTTTAATTTAGTTTTGTAATGACGGGAGCCATGCCGTTGTTATATCGGATTGACTGGGAGCTTCCCCACATGACCACTACATCCAATTCAGAACCCACGCGGTTCATGTGAGTCCATTGTGAGAACATTCAACTTACTTTGACCCCCGCTAAAATGCCCGTTGTTGACACACTGAAGTCCAGGTAGGCTAACATCTCTGGGGTCGGGGGCTTGTACATCTGGGGGCTCTTCTTTCTGGGGAGGTCATCTGGGGGATGAGAGAAGGAACAGTCCCAATTCAAGACGTCCTTTCTTTACTTAAGAATCTACTCTTTGGTGGCAACATGAGAAACTAAACGGTGCTCGGTATGTGCGTATAACTCACCTGTATCCAGCACCATGGGCCAGCTCTTCACGTCCACAGCAGCAGCAGCCTCCTTGGACCGGAACAGCTTCATTATTGCTTGAGTGGTCAGGATGCACACCGACTTACTGACCTTTAACACACAGACGTTGGTGTATTAGCACATGTATATTACATCGCTGTGTACAATGTACACGATACCTTCATCGAGTCTCGTGAGTGTTTTAACTTTGCACGTTGGGATTACGTTTGCATTCTGGTGCAGGACGGCCGACTGTGTTACCTCAACAATCATCTTGACGGTGGGCAGCGTGGTTGCCAGGTTCTGGGGGTGGGGGGGTCTGACAGTGACTGGCACACAGCCAGCGTACAGGCAGCCGTAGAAAGTGGCAATCAGGTCGATTCCTACACATAAATGTTTGTAACTAAGCTTGACAGAGACGTTAAGGTGACTGAATTAAAAACTGGAGACCGAGGTAGTAAACACAGAACTGTGACATTAAGAAGCTGGCCAGCAGCAGTGACACCTCTTACCTGGTGGGTAGACGAGTGCTACGTGGTCTCCGGTGTTGAGGCGTCCCATCAGTGCTGCAGCCACCCGCTCTGCCCGCTTGTGCAGCTGCAGACAGGAAGCTGTGCTAGCCACCGTGCCCTGAGGAGCAACACACGAGGACATACAGGAATTTAATAGAATTGAACTGCAATGCTAATCTCTGGCCGTGCTTTATTATCCTTGTGATTCATCCAGCAGTGGAGATGTGTTTTTAAGCTTCCACTTAAAAGGATAAACAGATGAACTAAATCACAATACACATTAGAATGCCATAACTCGATTCTACAAAGAATGACGCAGAAGGCCGTACCTTAGCATTGAGGACAAGGAACACTGGGTGGTCTGGAGTGGCTTGAGCTCTCCATTGCAACACGTCCTGGATGTACAGGAACTAGAGGGGAGAGACACACACACCCGTTGAACTACACAGAAAAACATACAGCACGTTGTGGAATCAAAAGCTCATGGTGAGACAAGAAGGGGTTTTTGTTATGAAGAGATGACAAATGTTCGCAAATGTTTGCCCGTGTTCATATAGAGGGCTCAGCAGGTAAGCGAGACCATGTGCTCTCCATCAGCTGTATATATTTTAGATTCCTCTCCCTCTGGTATGGAGCCTTACCTGTGTTTCTGCAGTGTAAGTGAGGAGGTGGTGAGCGGGTGAAATGAGGATGACTCTCTACCTTACGTGCCTGGTCGTTGTCCTCGAGTTGGGCCACGTCCCTCCCACAGGCCTGGGCAATCCTCTTGCCGGCCACCAGGTTGCCCACTATCATGGAAGCAGGGCCGACCTCTGTCGAGCACAACCGCATTCAGGGAAGTCAGGTCAAGCGACAGAAAAAAAACCCCACCACAATAAAAGGAATGGTAGAAATTCACTATTTTTGAAACTCAACCCGTGCTTTGACATGTGGAGGTCTACCTGGCTGTTTTTGTCTGGGCTTGGGCAGGTTGGTGACGCATGTGTGAGGGCACATGAGGACATTGCAGGGGTGCAAGGCGCCCTCCAGGAAGCGCTGTTTGGTCTCGGATATATGGATGCCGCCCAGAGGAGCCTTAGGAAGCGTATTGGCAGGCACCAGAGCCAGGCAGTACACTCCGACCTGGTGGATGCTGTCTATGGCCTGGAAACAGGCCGGAGAGGAGAGCTGGAGGTTAGCAAAGCTTTCATTCAAGCAGAGGAAGTTCATTTCATTTCCATGGCCCGGTTTTAGTTTCAGCGAGCATCGCAATATTTTCACTTGCAGTTATTATGGTGTTTCCAATAACTGTTTTATGTGATTGAGTATTTATTTGCTCACTTGAACTACTTGCAGTGAAAACTTCCTTTGTCCAATAATAATTTTCCAAAAGACAACATAGTGTTGGTTTGATTGATTTTGTATCTTCAAGCTGTAGTCATAGCATCTTCAGGCAGCTTTCTCAATGCATTCAAGGAACCGTCACCATCACAGATTTAGGAATTATTCATTGTAATTAGGACTGAACGATTCTTATTCAGCATCACACACATTTAGCCTTAAACTAATTATGGGCAGGTTGTATTTGATTACTGGTTCAGCCCTTCGTCAATTCAATTATTATAGAAGTTTAAAGGTTAGTTTTCATTGTGACCCGACACGAAAACCAATGATGATTTTCTTTGTGACGTGCAGTTGAAAAAGTAGGGAGTGAAATTACCTAAACAATACTGACTCCCATTTACCACAGTAGAAAGTGCAAACCTGCAGGTATCGTCCAACTATCTGTGACCAAGTGACAAGATGTGAAAAAGACAGTGCGCACCTGGAGGACGCGGCTCATCCACTGGAAGCTGTCCTCCTCAGAGGCGTCCGGCCTCTGCTCTGCCACGACCACGATCCTCTCGTCATGCAGCACAGACACTGAAAACACTGCTATCCTGAAACGCACAACAACAAAAAAACACGGCCAATCGATGGCATTTGATTGTACTCAAACAACTGCAGCACTGATGTGTAGAGAAGTGTTACGTGTGAACTTTTACCTCCCCCTGTAAACAAACTTCATGGGCTCCACTGCCAGTGCTGTGGCAACCACATCATCGGCATTGTGTCTCCGGCCACTGACCACCATCAGCCCATCCATCTTCCCCACGACAAACACAAGGCTGTCCTGGGGAGGGTCACGCAAAGCACATAACATTAGATGGGTGGATCTTGATATTTACTCCCACCACATTTTCAACTGAAGCCCTCGAAAGGTTCCTCAAATGATAAAAATGACAAACATTAACATGATGAATGATGTCGAACAGAGGTGGAATTTACCGGCCCCACAAAGCCCAGGAGCGATGTCCTAGTGAATGGTCTGTCGCAGATGGGAATCCCAGATGATGTCACCGGGATGGTCTGTAAGTAAACACAATTCGTGAATGAAGTGTAAAAAAAGATTTGTTACCTCCACAGGTGGAAATTCAGAAACAAGACACTGACCTCAAAGATGTTCTTGGTCATGCCCGGCAGGCCGTAGTAAGCTACGCCCGGGATACCCGAGTTCACGCATATCTCTCCAACCTCGTCCGTCTGACAGAGATAGGGTGTCCCCTCCACCCGCACCACACACACCAGGGCTGGACACACACACACACACACACACACACACACACACACAATGAGGACAGGAGGGAATCGTGAACAAGGAAATTCACATTTTAAGTAGATGTCACAATCGGTTATTAGATTAGATTCCATTTTATTGGAAGAATTTCTATAGAATACTATAGACAAGAAGCCTTTGAGCGCCCCAATGTTTTGTTATAAACACATCGATACCTCAACATTACCAGACATCGATGCTAAGGAAGACATCACATTAGAGGATTTTTGCTCAACAGTTATTGCTCCCTTCAAATCTGGTCGGGTCGTTTCCATTTTCTGGAGACAGGTGGTTGTGTCAATGTCAAAAGGACATCTTTCATCTTAACCTCCTGCACTAACCACAGCAACAAAAGGTTAATGAGCAGCGCGCAGCGTACTTACTTCCGGGCATGACCTGTCCTACATCCTGCACTGTGAGGACGGAGAGTTTCTCCTCCGTGTCCACACGGATCACACTGTGGCTCAGCCCGCCCATTGACAGCACCGCCTTCCCTGGAGGAGGAACACCCATTTCTGGAGGCCTGCAAGGCACAGACATCATTTCAATTTTATTTAGGGAACATGGAATGTCCTTCAGTCAAATACATCTGTAAGTTATTCTTCCTAATTTCCGCAGCCCTTTGTGGCAAACAGAACAGAACAATGCCGATTCTCATAGATCGTAATTCATCACATCCAGCTGGTGGTAATATGTACCATAGTATACTGTCTTTAGCAGGACTGACACTTTCAAACTCTGCAACTATTCCTCGGCTCACACATTCCTTATGATTTAAAATGCTTATTTAAAGCATGCGTGTTTGGAGTCTGCCTGTCACCCTAATCCTTCTCCATGGGGGCTGAGACCTCCTACACCTTGTCTCGATGTTAAAACAAGCACAAATTTTTCGACAGTCGGATTAAACAGCCCGGTGAGAAAAGAGCGGTGGCAGGTAGTTGTTGTTCTTCTTGCACGGTGCAATGACTGCAGTTCACCTGCGGATGGCGACAGTCATGGCTTCTGAAGAGCTGGCACATGGACAGATCACCTCAGGTCGCAGCCCACGTGCCTGAAACACGTTGAGGAAGGCATCGCACGAGGATATCGACCCTGTCATAACACAAACATGCAAACAAATGTACACAACAAATCAACAACAATCTCTTGTGGCTCCAGGCTTCATTGAATGAGAGTCTGCAGGTGAACTCACATGGGTTAGCTCCGTCGGCTACGATCAGCATGCGCAGGGAGCTCAGGCTGACATCTCTTTGGTCTCTCTGCGCCAGCAGAGACCAGTGCATGTCTCTCGACTTCACCACGGCAACCCTTGCTGTGGAAGGGGATGCAGAGACAAAGAGACAGGCTCACAATATAATCATCACCTCTGTCACTCGGCTGGACAGCCAATCGCAGATCTGTAAATCTGACAGCAAATAGCAGCACAGTCTGACTCAGTTGCCGACAGGTGACTCAGCAAAGTGCGGCCTACGGCTCGGATGGCGGAGGAGACGGATTTCATCCTGTCCTCAGCCTCCGCTGGAGCAGCACAACTGAGTCAGACAAACTAGTCCGTCAATCCACCCTCCCCTTTCACAGGTGCACTGAGAACAGACTCTCTCTGAAAGTCAAACGCGGTCTTATTACAGATACTTAAAAAGAATTAAGTGTTGGGCAAACTACCATTTCCCCATGGAGCAAGCTCCAAAAGCATATCACGTGAATAACGTGTGTATGTACTCTGTATCAGTCAGTATGAAACAATGCACCTAGATAAAACTAGGTGTGTTTGTGCCGTACTAACGGTGACAAGTGACGGATGCCTGGGTGGATTAATCCTCACCTTTGTATGTGTGAACCTTCTGTATCCAGGAGAGGGGGTTGACTTTCATCAGGGAGTAAGGAATGCTGATCACGTGCATCCGATTCATGACACTCTGCCAAGAGAAACACAAAAATATGTCCACGGTGTATCATAATTTCACTGACATCATTATAAACCAGACCTGATCACGGTTTCATTTTCGGGGGTTTGAACGTGAAACTGCATCAGCAGCGCTGATTTGAGGATGTGTTGGAAGTTGAAATATGTTTTACAGGTCTTAAGCGCTTAAGTTGTGTTTCACAATTAGTTTATAATAAATTGTGATAGAACTCTTCCATTAGCTTTACCAGATGGTTCAACACCACTCACAGTGAGAACGCCGTGCCATAACCCTGCTTCTCTTTTGAAGTCCAGGACGTTGGTTATTGTCTCACCTGCAATTGAAAAAGGAATTTTGAACAAGATCAAGGTTTGAGACATTTAACCTGGCATTCTTTTTTAACTAAAGCACTTGCATATCATCATTATTTCAAAAAAATAATTATAATTCCTGTTTGTGGCAGCATTGCAATTCAGTGAAGCAGCGAACATATTTGTAAAACCGACCCAGAGAGACTCTCAGGGCTTCTGGTGCCGTCAAGAGTTATTTACAGCAAAACTGGGACACTGAAGGAGAGGAGGGGCCTTACATTCTCAGGAAGAAAAACAACGAGCTGAGTGGGCGCATTTATCAAACCGGACTGTAATTACACTCTGATGAGGTGTGACGCTGAAGCTAAACAAATAATGAGAAGTTGAGGGGTCCTCCCTACCTTCAGTGTAGCCGCAGGCCTGAGTGAGCGCGTGACAGTGGGCCAGCGTGGCTGCGTTGGACACTGTGATGCCCATGGTGCTTCCCTCCTTGCTGGTCTTATACTGACCGAAGGAAACAAGGAAAACCATTTGAACAATTTCATTCCAAAAAAGAACACATAAAGAATACATCAAATTAAAACAAAAAAATATAACCAAATTGATATTCCCTTTACTGGTAAGATCAATAAAACCACTTTTACCTCTATGTAAGCTATGTCATTACTGGTGTCCCGTATCGGAGGGTGCCAGTCCTTCGGGGGCTTCACAACATGTTTTCCATCCGTCACGAACCACAGTAACCGTGGCCAGCCTGAAGAGACGGAGGCGTGGAGTCAGTTCAAACCAAACGCAGCTAAACAGAGGGAGAGTGAAAATGAGAGCCCACCTTTGAACGTGGCTACCTCCCCCGTTTGTGCTTTGGGCAAGCCTTTCTGACACGCGTCAGTGGTCAGTGCCAACGTGACGCCACAGCTTCCCAACAGAAAGCCAATCTGTTGACTGCCGGCATCCTGGGGGGGAGATCAAAGTTCATACAGCAGGAACTTTGGCAAACAGTCGAATAACAATCATCAAAAGTGACAAAACAGGAAGGCTTGAGGAAAAATGTGCTGAGGCAGCGGTTCCCAAACTTCATGTGTCGAGCCCCCCTTTGATGGTTTAGGAACATTGCAATGCGCCCAGTTGCCCTATGTGGTCTAATATTGTCACTGAAATTACGCATCGTTTCCCTTGACAATAATCCATTACAGCCATGTCAGCATCTTCCAACAGCATGCTTGTAAACAGCAAACAAGAACAGACATAAATATTCAAACTGTCTAACTGATGTGGGGGAAATTGGTTCAGTTTGTGCAGGAAACTGGGATGCATCGTAACACTTTAGGGCTGAATAACACTACAGAAGGCTGTTATAGCACAAGATATTCTAGGATATTGGAAAAGTAGAAGCCAATGTCCATAACTTTACAACGCTCTCATTAGGGGTCATGTGTCCAGCAGGGGTCACTGCTGCTCTTCAGTGTTTAGCTCAAACCAATAAGGTCCACACATTCCCAAGAGATTGTATTTGCCTTTACCTTTCTGGTGAGCGGGACTTCAATCGGCACCGGAACCAGCTCGGCCAAGAGACAGCCGTAAAAGGCAACCATGAACATCACTGGGTCGTTGTTGGGGAAAACAAGTGCAACCTGCGGTGGACACAATATGTTATAGTAGGATGTGAAAGCAAACGTTTGCTTCATTTCAGAAATAATGTGGTTGTGGTATTATATATAAGAATATATATCATATAAGAAATAGCTTTTGTTTGTTGCAAACTGACCTTAGAATCAAGTAGGCAGACTTGATAATAATATATTCTCTCACCGTTTCATTTTTAACGCTACTTCAAGCTCAGGGAAATAGAAACTAGCTGAATATTGTTTTAGGAGCCTCAGCCAAAAACCTCAAATGGAACGAGGAATGTGACATACGACTGACCAGGCCTGGACACAGATTTATGTCATGACTTACCCTGTCGCCGGGCACCAGCAAAGGCTCATTTCTGGTACTCAGCTTGTTAAGAAGCGTGTAGGCCAGTTTCTGACTGCGGGTCCATAGTTTACCTACAGAGGTGAAAGTCGACGGTCACATATTTGATTTGACCTCCCAACCCCAGACCACCAAATCCACATAAAAATCCACACAACGGCTGATAATAGCAGCGATTACAAAATAACGTCCATGCAGAGACGGCCACTTCTTTGTCCATTATTTGTAAAGAGAAAGAGACAGATTGCATGACAGGAGGAGACATGGCTTTGTATCTCCGGTGTGAATTGGGAGCCACTCATCCACAGCCTGATGCCTACCATAGGTGAGCGTGTACACCGGCTTGCCAGCATTGTCGAGGGCCGTCAGGCAGGGGCTCTTGGGCTGAGTCGTACCCCACCGATGTAAGGCTGCTGGCAAGGAGGGAGGCCAGGTGTTGACCCCCCCGAGAGGATCGCCTTCTAGGGGACTCATGTGCTGGCCTTCCGGTTTTGGCTGGTTGGGATCTGGCTGCTGAACTAAATAGGGAAGACAAAATATCTCTGTTGACAAATAATCGGTACATTTCTCAGTAATAAAACTCAGGCAGGGCCATACGAGTGTAAGGTGGAGGATTAAATGTGAGTTGGATTCTGTGCTTATCAGTCTAAGCTGCATCCTTCAATAAGGAGTAGCTCCCTCTATCCCTCAGCTTCCGCTTCTCCTCGCACCTTACTTGCGCTTTGATTGGACTTGCATCTTTCCGTCACTATTTCCCCCCCAAACTGCATTGAACTCTGGTGAGCGTAATTCAAAAATGCTTAAAAGAGCTGCCATGAGGTCCGCTGCCAAATAAATCACCTCCATCAGGAACAAACAGCGTTGAGCCTCCTGCCATTTTCAGCTCAGTGTGTTTTTTTGCTCGCTCGCTCCAGGCAGACCACCAAGCAGGGGGTTGCCATGTCACAGTGTCTTTGCCAAACTCAGCGGGGCTCGTCAATTACCTGCTGATGCATTACTATTCCTGGCACTTCATTTTACTTCATTCGTGTTTATTCATCCTGGCAGAAAGCCCCCCAAAACCACATGATGGGCGGGTTGGAATGAAGGAAATGGTTGGACAGGGCCGGGCCGCTTAGTGTGCGTGTTTCTGTATTCCATAACCACTCCCTCAACACACCTGGTGGTCTGAGCCCCACCAAGAGACAAAATGACAACCACGAATCTAAACGTGTTCCATGACTGTTTATTTGAGAGGCGTGGTGAGCTCAACCCGACGTTTTCACCTCGCCGGAAGCTGCAAAATTCCGCTGAAAGCTCCAAAAAAAATGTTGGTACAGGTTGTTAACGCTGGTGTGGCTGACGCACATGAAGGAGCAAGAGGATTTGAATCAAATCCAACCTTTAACTGCTGAAGTCTCTGATCAGTATGCTGATCACACCACAAAAAGATGGATGCTTCCTTTCATGAATTATTGATTTGTTAGAAGCCAGATAATTACTTTGGAACTATCTTACCATCCAAAAGCTCCTCGAAGTCGTCGACAAAGAACTCTCGCAACGGCGGCCGCTTCGGTCTCTTCAGAGTGTTGAGCAGCTGCTGGATTTTGGAGGAGACGCGACTGTTGACTGGAACACCTGCACCATGATATTGGAGGGCATGAAAAGAAAAGGGCAGAAAAGGGGAAATTAACAAGACAAGTATGTGGAGAGGAAGAAAGAATATGTGGCATGGCAATAGAAATGTAGACAAATTAAATGAGAGATGGATGAAGTGAGAAGGAGACGGGAAGGGTTGAAAAGAAGAGAATCGAAAAGGTCAATGTGGTGCTCTCTAGAGGACAACCAGCTGTCACTCACATTGTTGCAGAACAACAACAGTGAACCGCGAGGCCCATTACAGTCACCTGGAGGTCAAACGATCACAGTCTTTGAATCCAAATACTCTCTAGAATCGGCGACAAACATTGCAGGCTAAATAAAACAGAAAGCGAGGAGCATCCTCGCCTGCTGCCTAGCAACAAAAATGTCCACCATTAAGTGATTAGTCATGTCATTCATGTCAAGTCATGAATTGTCTAAAAAGATGTTTCACGTACGCTCTGCAAAATCCATAATGGTGGAGGCTAAAACCAACTATAACCCAATGTAAATTAATGTAAATTATTTGAAGTGTTAAAGTGTTAGAAATGCTGAACCAGAATATAGACGCAACGAGAAAACATAAATAAAGGGGCACGAGAGACGAGGAGGGGTGTCTGGTTAGATTCCTCTCACATTTCTGACGTGGATGCGAAGACTATAATCATCATCGGGCATCATTTCCTTCGCATGAATTCATACGTAGTTTAGGAAAGGTGGTCTTTGCAGACATTCCAGACAGCCACAGGAGACGAAGGCCACAGCTGCACGTAGCTCGCCCCATTTCTCTTACTATTATAAGCCTGGCTCAGACAGACTGTGCCGACTTACGGAGGGACAGATGCACAGGGGGGGCAGAAGTGTGGGAGTCAGAGCTGCACCTGATGGGCCAATTAGAAAGCCCAAGACACACAGGAGGATTGCATCTGCGGGCCATGACCCCCCCCCCCGCCCACTCAAGTGCGCCTGATCGTTAATATCAAAACCAACCAGGACCTGCATGTGATGATGACTATAATTAACATTTTCATATCAACCCACATCATTAAATTACTGCAGCAAGCACTAGGTCCATTACGCAGAAATGGTCATACGTGATCGAATAGCATAAAGAGCAAGACTGGCTATCCCACACGTGTGTTATTGTTAATGAATCCCATTCAAAGACCCACACCAACAGTGGGTGTTGCCATCTTTTAATATTTTGAACTTAACCTAACCTTTCGGTGGCTCATCTTGTTTCTTAATACCAAAGCTGTAATTGTTGTACATTTTTGGTTAGCAATTTCCTAATTCCGCAGGGCATTGAGGTTTTTAATCAAACATTAATCAAATTAATTTTCAGCTGTGGATTAATAACCATTTGGTGCTCTAGTGAGTATTTACAACGGTGCATATGTTCATCATAATGAAGGAACATGTCCGCCTGTGGGTCATTGTTGTGTTTTTACCAGTTGGTGCACAACAAATGAGGTCTCTCGAGGAACATACTACATTCTTTATTCACAGACGATACTACTTAGTAGGATTAATTTATTCTCGGTTTCAGTTTCTTCTTGGGAATTGTTGACAAAGAAAAGCACCAAATTTTGCTTTCTCCATCAAAACAACAGATACGGGGTTATAAACCGTGTTCTCATATCAAAGGGCCCACTGTGAGACAACGGGCCAACAGGCATGTGTCACATAATGTAGTGAGACGCGTAACTCGACTAGTCTTAGCGCTTCAGTGTGAGCTCACAAATCGGCTGGCTAACACAAAAAATATTTGCACCTTTCATTGAAAACGCATTTTTAAACAGTTCACATTATCATCACCAATTTTCAGAGCATGGTTAGACACGGCTTGCAGACGCTGTAAGTAATAAAGCCTTTGCAATAGACTGAGCTCCACACACACACAGGCATCCAATGACTGAATTCACTGCAGATTTACATATATCGTTGGAAAGTACACACTGTTAGGACAAGTGCTACACTAGACAGCAGAGGCAACGTCAGAAACACACACACACACACACACACACACACACACATAAAACAAACGCAGCAGAGTGCACACATAGAAGACTGCCGTAGAGTTGGAAGAGCAGTTATAAATACCATCCATTAAACTGAGGGATCCATCACTTCTCCACTCACAGCCTGGAGGAGAGACACATCAGGATGTCAATGAAACCGCCCTGGTAACGTGACAGAACAGTCTACCTGCAGCTACACAGAGGTGACAGCAGCATTGAGACACGTACTGTTGTGCTACCATAACAACAGAGATAGTATTTCTTGCTCTTCTTTCCGATTTCTGTTATTGACTTCTTTATGAGAAAGGTACAATAGTTCACATATATAGTTCACATTTAAAACTCCCTTTCCTTCTCAGGTGGTACCCAGGTGGGCTGCTTGTGCATTTGTTAGCAGTGAAGACCCAGACTAAGCAGGTCATTCTTGACAAGAGGATGGATAGCAGCACGCTAATAGATCTGCTGAAGCACTGTTGCAGTTTTCTGCAACCCAACTCACATATTTGATATTAATTTAAAGCTGCATTCAGCTCTGATGTGAAAGGACTGGAGATGGTGGGGAGCCATGACCATCCATCCCAACGCATGACACGAGTTGACTTTATAGCACAAAGAAATATTTTGTTCAGTTGTATATTTCAAACGTTGTAATGGCACATCCTTTTGGTTTGATTTTACTAGTTCCCCATCTCTCCACTGCAAAAGCATCCAATTGGCAATATATCCGACAGCCCCTCTGGAGACTGTCTTTATATTGGATGCGTACTACAAAGTGCTGCTTTAATGATGGATGATGTTTAGTGACACTGAATCTCTAATAAAACGAGCTGAACCACGTGAATCAATGTTCCTGTAGCAATCGTTATTAATTGTGTGTTTTTAGTAGTGGCGCGGCCACTACTAGGGTCACTACGAGGGTCAGTAAGGCAGACTTACTAAAGAAAAGACAGAGGGACAGACAGCAGGGGGGGATAGGGAGGTGACCGGGTGCGTCTGTTTCGTGTGTGTCTGTGTGTGTCTGTGTGTTTGTGCGTGAGAGCAGGAAACTCACCATCTGCGGTCTCCATGACGCTGGTGTGGTGGTTATAGCCCCGGGAAACGCCTCGCACCGAGGCCACCTGGGGACGCTCCGCATGAAGCGAGGAGCGCTCCGACAGCCCCGTCACATCGGGGGGAGCTGAGTGGTTATCTGTGATGAGTGGGGCGTCGGGGGTTAAAAGGTCAAACTCCAAGTCTGTTTTGCGCTATTGTTACCGAACGAAAATCTGCTTCATGGTTTTGCAGGCAAACTGATCCGACATTTTAGGAATTTGATTGAGAGGGTAGCAGCCCTTAAATGTAGTACTCAGGTTAGAAAGGTGCATTGTATCAAGGTTTTTATATGTTTTAGCTCCATTTGAACTACCTCCTGTGGTTATAAATGAATGTCCATCTATTTGTTGGTTATATATTCCCCTCAGGGCATAACATATGAAAGATGTGTCAGGGTGTGGGGACATTGTGAGGTTATCTATCTGAGCTCCCTTCCTTCCTATAGGAAATGTCAGTATAAGTGCTTTCGGTCCTGGGTTTTAAATGCAGACCGTTTAAATCCTAATTGCTATGGTAACACAGTCTTGACGGCATCAACACACACCGGTGTTAATCAAGGTTACAGAGAGCTGGTGGCTGAGCTGAAAAAAACTGATTAACTTATTACTGCCTTGATTAAATATACCACGTGCACATGTGTGATTTTGAAAGTTTTGATGGCCTTCTCGTCTACTGCTGAGGGGAATGACAGAAGGAATCAGAGTTTGAGGGGTCAAGGTTCGGGATAATATGGGAGATTTATTAACAGCTTCATTCAGCACCGGTTGCTTCTGCTTTTTTATGAGGGCAGCCTTGAGGGGAGGCAGGTCCGACAGAAATCTGACAGCTTCTAGTGACACATAAACATTCACAAGCACACACTCAAACACCCAAGCACGACGCCATCTCACTTTGCTACTGCGTGAGAGACGGATGAAGATGAATCTCATTAACTAGGCCAGGATGGGCAATGCGGCTGTGACACAGGAAGCTGCTGTGAGCCGTCTCACAGGACTGAATGACCGTGAGCTGGCAGGCCGAGACGACTAATCAGAGATGCAATTTACAGGGGAATCAACACCCGTAGTGAGATTCATTGGTCGGGACTGGGGGAATGAATATGATGCGTTGTTGCATTTTAGGGGTCTGGTTCCTGTTTTTTTAAATGATTTAAGTAAGAAGAAACTAAACAGACAGACGGGTAACTCACGGATCGAACTGTTTAGGTAATTGTAAAACTCGACTTACTGACAGTTTTTGCAGCACTTCATTATAGGCAATGATAGAATAATTACACTGCAAATTAAGGGCCTGTTATGAATATAGAAGTAGAGCACTGCATCATTAAAAGAAGACAAGAACATACAGGATGGAGCAGCCGTGAATTGACGGCGTGTTGGACTGCGTGTGTGTCACTGACCTAGCTGGGTGTGGGCCATAAAGTCGGCCAGTGCGGTAGCGGCGGCGTTCACGTTGAGGACCGCGTGGGAAGTGGTGTTGGTGACGGATCTCCCTCCCGGGTGGGATGAGGTGGATGACGCGGAGGATGAGGTGGACGAACCCTGGATGACACGGTTAAACCAGTGCTCAACGGCTGGCGGGCCGTGGCCCTGGTAGGGCGTTGAGGTGGCCAGGCGTCCTTGCCGGCGGAGTGAGCCCTCGTCTTCCGACGCTGAGGAGGTGTCTGTGTTTGACAGGTCAAGACAGGGCAACGTCACAACAGGGGACAAAGATATGGACCTGCAGGGTTTAGATGATATGCCGATGATACATTGTTTTACTTATACATACAGGGTACATATAAGCAAGTGGGATGGCCAGATGGGTTCAATGGAAATGGACGATGTTGAGTTGAGAGATACTTGTAATATAAATGTAGCCATACTAAGAACATATAGTCTTACACTGTCCAATGTTATGCACCGCCATGTCAGATTCCTTGTATATCAAACATATCATGGCAATAAATGTGCTGATTCCAGATAGAGTGAATTGGTGTACTTTATATGAATGATAAAGTGTCATAGACTTAAAAGACTTAGAATTAAAAGAGGTCAACACGCAGTTGTTATAAAACTGTTATTCTTTCTTGAGAAAAAATATGTATCCTGTACTTGCATAAAATACATACAGAACCAAAAATACCCTGACCAAATTCCCTTTATAATGTTGGTATAAGACTCTGGAAGTGTGGTGTGTGTTTAAGTTATGCTTGGACTCAAACACAGCCGCTAATGATTTTACTGACACTCCCTTGAGAGCAATTTGTCGTTGCAAAAATAGCCTACACAGGAAAATCTTCAAAGCATAGTCAGGATCATTCAAAATGAAAACATTCCATTTCATCTTCCAGCTATCCAAATGTCTGCTTCAGAAGCACCACAGTTACACAAGAGCAGGCCAGTCGGAGAGTTGCAGTCTGCAGCGAATGGAAGGGCCAAAGAGGCTTAAGCATCAGCGCACAAAAAAAACAAGAAAGGGTCACACGTCACACATATTATTCATGATTACCAAAGGAAACAGCAGCTACCCATATAAAGACCTAAATATTACACCCAGAACACTTTATAAAAGCAAAGCCTTACAGATAATGTGGAAAATATATTCCAAGTCCACAGATGCCCTTATTCTGCAGCATTATGGAACCAGTTGTGCTTGTTTGAACAGAAATACATATATATATATATATATATATATATATATATATATATATATATATATATATATATATAACAGCTCTCTAATGGGGAAACTCGCTTTGCAGAGGTATCAACCATTTAAAAACCCAGAGCGTCATTCTGGACACAACATCAAACCAGGGGTCCGTGGAAAAGAGACAACGTGTCTCTTTGAGTTGGAGTCCTCCCCATAATATCAAGAAAAAAGTGAAGGACAATCCGGTGTTTGGATGCCAGTGGCGGTCCTGCCAAGCCAGAAGTAACACTGGCTTGTCGATGTAGTGGCGTTATGAGTTATGACTTGTGTCTATAGTCAGGGGGAAAGCAGGCCGGCTCTGAGAAGATATGCTAGTTGATCCAACTGGGAACTTGCACCTGCACTAGGAGTAGGTTTGAGTTGGGAGAAACGGGTTATGGAAGGACAAGGAGGAGACATTTAGAGAATAGATTACGCTTGTGTGATCAGCGCATGTCTGAGGATGTTCTCTAAAGTAATGAGCTTTCTTGCAATTAATCAGCTTCCTAATCACTCACAGTATGCAGTTACAAGTAAAGTCGGCTAACCGAGAACCTGAAAAACACTGTTTCTTTCTTTGCTGTGGCTCTGCAGAAGTTGCCAAAAGAAGGCCGGAGGAGGTTTGATCATAACGAGCTTGAATATACGGTCTCTACAACCAGCGTACTCATGGGGGTTATCTCGCATTCATGAGTCCGTTTGTTATTCCTCTGCCTTAGTTGAATCTCTCTCCGAGTCTCACTGACCTTGACACGCTTACACAGGAGAGAGGGAAACGGGGGGTCAGAGAACAAATGCTAGGTAGAAATACAGAGGAGGAAAGAATGGGAAGAATACTGAAAAAGAGAAAGAGGTATTTGTAAAAAAGGATACAAAAAAGTGAGTTTAAAAAGACAGTAATGTAAGGAGGTAGGGAGGAATAAAAAAAGGGAGAGAACTTTAAAAAATTGCATTCATTCTTTTGCAATACCATTTTTTCTTGAGGCAAACACAATTGGCAATCCCCATTGTAGCAATGTACAGATGGCATCTGACATATTGGATTGATTTCCTAAAAGGACTCAAGTGGTATTTGGGTACAGTGGTGCTTTGCGCTAAATGCTAATAGAAGCTGCTATCATGCTCTCATTGAAAATGCTGGGCAGACATAATGGGTATTATGTTCATGCTAACATGTAATATAATGCTCTAAAACAAAGTATAACTGAGCCTAATGGGAATGCAATATGCTTTGCGGGGATTCGGCTCTAGACAAAGTCCTGATACAAAAATTATTATATTTCATGCTGATGGGGACATTCATGTCATTATCAAATTTCATGGCAAACCTTTCCAACAGTTGTCAAAAGCCCAAATGTACACCTCATGCAGTGGTGCTAAATGTCCTAGTGATGCCGCTAGCATTGCTAATAGTGTTGTAATTGTTGTTCTGTGCTGGATTAAATGACAGATTTATCAGTAAAAGAATAATTTTGCTCACATTCTTACTGGTTCTTCACAATCAGACATCGCGTGTTCAGATACGTACTCTGAAACCAGTCACTGCAGTTTTGCAGGATAAAAGATGGAAAAGGAGAAGGTTAATTGATGGGTTGAATACAGATACTAACAATGGTTGTTGTTCTCGTTCTCTAAATATTACCAACCAGCACCATTTGCCATGAAATCTCCCACATTAGTACCCACTGATGAAATGAAGCTGACGTAGTCTTATGAAACCATTTAAATTCTCAAACCAAATGTTAAAGTCATTAACAGAACCATGCCACCGTGAGCACATCAATCCCCCCAAACGTCATTAGCCTTGATAACTTAGCTGAGCCCCAAATGATGTTGTATGTTGATTTGCACCCATGCACTTCCTCTCAGTAGATGACTCAGCGTCACCACGAAGAGACGTCTCCCTACCGAGTTCAAACCCCAGTATCTGAGCTCTTAATCCGTTTACGAGCTGCACCGCTGTGTCCTCTCTCTTTACCCAATACACGAAGCTCCACGGCCCCCCACCAGTGAACTTTTATACACCAACGATAAACCGCTGCAGTTTTAAGAGATTGAAAGGTTTGCAGTCGTCAAACTGGCACGGATATCTCACCAGCTGATTGAAGAATAATGAAATACCTTCTTTTTTTATAATTTGAGAAACTAGCAAAACAAAAATGTTTCGGGGTCAGAAATGTGACATTAAAGTGAACTGGCCCACACACCCCAAAATGTTACAAAAGCAAGTGAAAAGTCGACATTTTGAGACAATGGTTAAGATATTATTATGCGTTCATTATGCAACTCATGTGGGACGTTGTGCCTGGGAATACGGCAGTGAGAACTGAGCGCCTTTTGAGTCACGCAGAATGGACACATTCATCAAACGGCATATTTCCCTCCAGCAGCAGAAGCTCAACATCATCATCTTCCACCACTGGACACAGCTGAGCGCCAGCATCCTACACGCCGATGCTGGTGAGCGCACACAGAGACGACCCTTTGTACGCGATGAGCTCGGGTGTGTGTTTGCAGGATAAACGCCGCCCTCGGCGCACAGTGCTCCGGGAACAGAGGTCTCACCTGGCGGGGTGCATGCCTCGACGGAAGACTGAACTAACACGGATCGTCTCTTGGAGGGCATTGGCATCTTCCTCTCCTTGTATTTTGCCAAAGCTGCTTGGACAGCTTCTGTGTGCAAATCTGAGGGGACACATGCACACAGTGAAGCCACAGCATAACAGAAGAGCACCTGGCCATTTAGACTTTTAATGTAGGGAGGCGTGCTTACCAGATCGGAAGCGTTCATCCCGGGTGTTGGCCGCCCGGGACTTGTTGTGTTTGGAACCCGGCAGAACAGCTTGGGAGGAGGCCTGGATCCTGTTGTCAATTTGCAGAGAAGGATCTACACCTGGGGGCAGAACAGATAGAAGAGAAAGCAAGGAGGGAAACAGTTAGTAAGAAATATCCCTATCAGAGATATGTGCTCTCTGAATATCCCTCAAGATCCAGTCCCTGCAAGCTTAACGCTTATCCCTGTTTAGGCTGCTTTATCTAATACAGTAGCTTGGGGTTGATAAAGTCCTCTCTGAAATTAAACCATCCCCTCTCGCAGCTTTCCAAGGCAAGCAAATGCAAATCACACAGACGTAACAGGCGAGGGGTTATTAGGCGCCATGAATGTCAACCAGACGACATCTTTTAACCAGAGCATTCCAAAATGATCAAATACTCAAAACTCTTCGACCTCCCGGTGCTCTGCGTGACGCGAGCGGTGATTCATTCTTTTGATTATGCAATTCTCATTTGAGCCTCATTAAGTTACTTGTGGTTAACATCAGAGGGGAGACCCAAGACCAGGGCCTGCAGGAAGGGTGTGGTTGGAGCTGGATTTGTAGTCTTCCAAAATCGGCTTCACTTCTTCTTCCCGTGCGCACATACTGATGTGTTTGATGTATGCAGGTATGCATACTTCATACACATTATGGGGTGTCAATGTACAATTTGACTAAATGGGCTTAATCTTTATATACTGTATAAATGCTGTTTAACTCGAACCAATTCATTATTGACATATAGAAAATCACTGATCATTCCTCTGTTATGCTATCATTTGTTCTGCATATCAAAGCTCTAAATGCACTCGTTATACGTGGTGCTTATAAATTACATGAACACAGCAACCAAAGAAACTTCCCACAACTTACCCGTGTTGAGTAATGAAAGGCCTGTGCAGTTATTTTAGGCAGAGTTGAGCCAACTTTACAAACAATGGAACCGGAAGCCGTCAAAGCAACAGCTTCTATACCAAAATTCTGCAATTCATCTGAAAAGTATGTGAAACTAAAGCTTAAAACAATGCTCCTGTTCTTCTAAATGAACGGCAATACCAACTCGCGCCTTGTCTCCATGTCCGCACGGTCAATAACTAGATACATTAACATTTTGTGTAAAACCAAACCTCACGTTGTCAAGTTTTTGCTACAGAGATGTTCTACAGGGAACACAGCTTGTTTTTATTCCATATAATGCAACCTGCGACTAGATGCTAAATTATGCAGTAGTAGAGACATTAACCTCTGCAAATCCTAATACACAAACACAGCCGACTGACTCTCTGCAACGCGCAGACATATTTTGATGCCTACCACTTTTGGAGGGTTCCTGCCCCCAGGGGAACTGTTTTGAAAACCGCCTTAGGAGGACAGAGTCCCATCATGCCATATTCAGACAGCTAGATCCAACACCTAGCTGGCTGGTGAATCAGACAGACGCCCGGCCTGCCAGACAGCCATCAGCCCGCCCGGCTTTTCAGCTGCAGCTTAGTGGGGATAAGCGAGCTGCACACCGTCAGCAACTCTCGGCCAGCGGCAGCACACGGAAATGCTGAGTAAAATTCACACACGCTTTGACCTAATCTGTTCAATAACACTTTTGAATTTTAGACACGATTCATTAAGGCCCGGGGTCATTTCTGGACACGTGGAGTCTGACAGAAACGCACAAACACAAACACAAACACACACACACACACACACACACACACACACACACACACACACACACAGCGTCCCCTGGGCATGGATGGACACATCAATGTATTATTCTGGTCCCTTGTCCCTCTGACGGGCCAGCCACACTTCAGACCCCCCCCCCGGCCCCTGGAGGAAGCAGGTCTAGGCAGAAGAGCCGGTTGCTGGGAAGAACACACTTGTGAGACACACCGCACAGAGCCAATCAGAGGCTTGCTCCGTCACAGCCCACGTTGTCATTGGCCCACGGCGTTCCCTGATTCATTTGTAGCACCCGTCTGATGCCTACACTTACAGGAGTGACGGCTGTGCGTCGCTTTCCTCGAGAGCAAATACGGCCTCACTAAAAAAGTCACAATAAATGATGATGATGTGAATGATATAAATGACTGGATGACCATCATATAGTACCTGTATGTGAGAGCTCAAACTAACTTCTCTGTGAACACATGTTTACACATGTAAATGCTCGACTTCCCAGTACGGTCCACACATGAAGGAATTGTTTACTTTCAAAGGTCCCAGTGCAGCTCCTAAACACTCCAAGACAAACAAAGGAAATCATTGTACTCATACGTACGTCTAACGATCGGGCTCCATACCAAGCTTTATTGCTCTTGGCACTATGAAGTCTTGTGAGTACATTGAAAAATAAGGCAGTAAAAAACGCCTTAATTTTAGCATGGAGCTCAGAAGCGTTTCAGTCTATTGGTCTCCTATTTCTACCCTGCAGCTGTCAAACCCTCACCACCTCATTCACTGTCCTGGGTGGATCTGTCATTAATTCCCACACACATCCGTTCATCCCGCTGGAAGAATATGTCACCCGTCCCAAAGCCCATCCATGTCCGCCTGGCAACTATCACTTCCTTTTTTTAACTGCTGGGATCCTGAGTGAGTGGATTATAAAAATGAATGACAGAAAGCATACACATGATAATACCAAGAAGGGAGAAGGAGCCGTAGGGAAGAGATAGAATGAAGGAGATGATTTGGCCAAAGCTGAATAACAGGCCCGCTAACTTAAGTGGAAAGCCTAGAACGATCGGCCCGCAACAGACTCTGGTTTCCACTGAGGCTCGCCGCTGTGAGAGCGGGCCAAACCCACCACTGCAGAGGACCCCGGTTAAAGAACGGGGAAGCATGAAGCGGTGACTCTGCAGCTCGAAATAGACACTGGATTGATGTATAAATGTATGTGCAACACAGTCAAAAACCACGGGACGATAAAAAGTGGAAACATAAATCTTCAAAAACAACAAAAATTCAAGCGTTTCATTGTCTTAGTTGGTTGGCGTCTATTTTTAATTTACCTACAAACACTGTAATAGTGTATTTGGCTGCTGAACTTCAGTGGAAATAACAGCAGACCCGATGATAACAGAACCGCTGTTGAAGAATATAGGGCACAGCAGCAGACTGTGAATTGAATTACATAGATGTGTCCAACGCATCCACAGCCACTGTGTCACCAATGGTGATGTTCCAACTGGCAGCTCTAGTATCAAAACTACTCAATTCAATGCACACAAAATAAATCTACTTCAAAACTAATCTTGGATTTGTTCCAAGCTGATGATTGAGTTTTGGGGTTCGATGTTCCATTCGCCTTTTTTTTTTAACTGTAGAAAGTGTCCGAACGAAGATACAACCAACAACAAATCCAAATCCAAATCCAAATCCTAACACACTCTCGTCCCCTCTTCTGTTCGCTCTGGCGAGGACACGGTGCTAACTGCTACGCTAACTAGTAGTCAGGGGGGATGACATGAACCTGTTCTGGGACAGTAAAGCCCCTCCAGCCCTCTGTGCCTTACCTTGTATCTGAGGGATGTACGGCGCCAACAGCTTGCCTCTTTTCTTCTCATAGCCCTTCTGAGTGATGTCCCCTGTACAGACAGAGATAGAGAAATACACAGGAACAGAAAGCCAGAGAGAGAGAGCGAGAGAGGGGAAGGGGGGCAGAGAGATGAGTCATTAGCTCTGCCGTACACTGGTGGTGTGTGTGTGTGTGTGTGTGTGTGTGTGTGTGTGTGTGTATGTGCGCCCGCACAGTGTCTATGGTCCCCTCTGCCCGGCTGGTTGCACTGGCACCGCGGGGCACCAGGGGAGGAGATCAGCAGCTCTCGCCCAGTGGACGCCGCCATCCCGCACACATGCACAGGAAGTGACATGGGACTGTAAGATGTTGAAGAATTTCCGACCGAATACTTGAATGACAACATCGACAAGGCAAGAGGCATTTAAAATCTCATTTGTCTGGTTTCCCTCACAGTCTTTTTGACCAGAAGCGAAAAGAAGAAAATCCTGCTGAGGTCAGCATGAACTGATTCCCCTTCAGTTGTCTCGCCACACATAATTAGGCAGTCTGTTAAAGAAGATCTAACTGCATGTGATTTTTAATAGCCTTATTTGAACGAAACGTCATTGTACAAGCTTTTTGAAACCCAGAATTTAACTAGACTACATGAAGAAAGTAACAAATTTATGGCAGATAGAGACGAAGAAGGGGGAAGGCAAAGTTATATAATGGCAGCATGGTATATAACCAGTGTTGGGAGTAACGCGTTACAAAGTAACGCATTACTGTAATTCCACTACTTTTAGCGGTAACGAGCATGTAACAAAGTATTTTTTTCAAATAAATTAACGCAGTTACAATTACTGAAATTGAAATGAGTTCGTTACTCGCGTTACTCTTTTGTGACGCGAAGCAAAGGGCCGGTAAATAGTAAGTAAATAGCTGCCTTTCAGCACAAAATAGTTGGGGCCACCAAAACGTTGTGTGTCACAGAATAGTCGCCGTACGTGCATGTAAACAGCATCGCTTCGCTCATGACGAAAAAGCGCAGGCCCGCGGATGCTGCAGGCGCCGCTCCACGCAAACAATCAAGGCTCCACTTTACACGGACTGCAGTGCGGCCGATAAACCGGGCAGAGCTGAATAGATTGATTGCTCGGTTATGTTGAAGATGTCGAGTCAGTTGCCTTCAGGCAAATGCCTGAAACAGTTATTTTGTATTAAGTTAAGTATTAAAAAGCACTTTTGTACTATTGCTTGATTTGAAGGCCTGTTGCCCTGTTGATTACAATAAATAGGTCTAAAAAATATGTTTATTGTGTTTGACTGTTCAGTACTATTTATATTCATTACATTTAAAAAGCAGACATAAAAGTTACTTAAAAGTTACTTTCCAGAGTAACTAATTACTTTTGATACACAGTAACTGGTAAGTAATTCAATTACCTTTAAAAGAAGTAACTAGTAACTGTAACTAAATACTCATTTTCAGTAACTTGCCCAACACTGTATATAACTTAACTCTACTAATTGTCTCTAGACTTGGCACAGTGTAGAAAAGACCCATGACCTCACACCGGTTATTAAACCTATTAAAAAATAGAAATAAAAACACCCGCCAGACACTGCTTCGGTACTGGCTCCGTACTGGTACGTGGCTCATCTAAGGGGATAAATCGGTGGATACCGTGTCACAATGCTGCCACAAGAACTACATCTTATCTGTAACCATATTGATAAATTCAGAATCAGAAGCATTATCTGCAAAAGAGTCCGAATGGTCCATCCCTAATCACAGAGAGGATTGCCTCAACTAAATAGTGTAGTTGTAGTGGCCTTCAATTGTCTTTCTCTCAATAAGTTCTGAACCAGGGACACAGAATTACATTTTCAGTAGGATATAAAATCTTAATACATTTAGTGAGCTCACTACTAAAAAAACAGTGTCACCAAAATTCCAACAATAAATCCATGTCCACATGTTCAAAAGGGACAGACCGCCAACACTGAGTGTTTTGGCTGTTTGTTGTTATGTGGTTAGTGGATGTGAGGCTGTGAGACTGACGGACTGGGTTTCTGAGTATCAGACAGAGTGGGACGAGGTTGACGGGGTGGAGACTCGCTCTTTTGCGGACAAAAGAGTGATTGATTCAGAAAGAAAGGGCTGACTGACAGCACCTCTAACACACAAAGCACGAGAATGTACATATATGCGAGACCTCTCATAATGAAAAATAAAAGGGAAGGGTCTTGTGGAAAACATGCCAGTCAAACCGTGGGGATGGAAGTGTCAAAGTCAACAGACACTTGACATGACGTGTGAATTGTTCTGGCAGGAAGCGAGAACTGCTCACCAACATCAACGGCGATTAGTGAGTTCACGCCGGAGTCCGATGAGTTCGGATCGCTCGCTGTGCTTTGTGTTTATCTCTATAGGCTCTCAGTGGGGGGGGGGCATTAGGGTGGAGGTCAAGGGGAAAAGGAGTTCAATCGGTTTAGGGTAGAAAGAGAACAAACGGATTAAAAACCCGCCCCATTTCATGTAATTTCCAATTTCAGCATTGGGAACATCCGTTTCACTAAATGTGTTTAACCTATATTCATTAATAAAAGGTATCCTTTCCCCCATCAACCTACAACCCGTCATGTTGATACATCTTCTATTTAGTTCCGTATGGCACTAAATGAATGACCGTGTATTATTTCAGACAAGCATTCCAAACTTTCTTGGTTCATCTCGTCTCCCGAAGCCCCTGAAATAACCCAACAGTGTGGTAGTGTGAAACCAGGTGTCGTTGGTCCCACTGGTTGCCGCACTGGTCCCGAGTCAGCAGCGGTGGCTGAATGCTCCACACTGTGACATGTCCAGGAGAGCTGGAGGGCCCGGCAACAATGCGGCGCTGTTCACAGGGCCGGGGGAGGGCGGAGGGGGTGGGGGGGGTCTGGCGGCTGACCTGACAGTGACTCTTTCTGCTGATAAGTGTCTCTGTTTGTACGTGCGTACGACGGGGTACGTTTGTGTGCGCTCGCCAGCACGTCGGAGTGCACGTGCGCGGTGGCGGGACCAAACTGGCCCGGCAACCACACAATAGAAGGACTTTTCTAGTCCAGATTGTAGCGAGCGGCCCCCGGTTGACCAAGCGGCCCCTAGTACACAAGGATCCGTCGGGCGCGTCTCAACGGAGCGAAGCTACCGGGAATCTTCAATTGAAACAATAAAGTCGGGGGCACCAAAGGGTTACAAAAAGCGTGTTGGGACAAGTTGCATGTGCTTATATTAGAGTGCGTTTTGTTGACGGATGCTCCCCTTCCGTTCCCTGCTTGAGCTTTGAGTGCCTCTATAAGAGAAAAATGGAAGGATTCAAAAGGTCAATATGCGGCCTCCCGCCTGGGGAATATCTGAGGAGGGGGTGATGCAGGGGAGAAAATGGGGGCGTGATGGAAGCTTAGTGCACACACAGAATCACACAGTCACAGGCTCAACTGCGTAGTTGAGCTATTAAGAAATAGTGTTGTGCACGTGGGCGGTAAAGGGGGGTCAGGAACGAGCAAATAAGAACTGCACAAGAGAAAGGGGTGAGAGAGGGGAGGCATCTTTCGAGTCGTGGCGGTTAGAAGACATCAACAGGGGCTCAGCTGGAGGACCAGTTTGTTTTTTTCATCTTTCCTCAACCGGCATCCTCCATCAGAATCAACCTCCTTTGTGACCTCCATCCCTCCACTCTAACCTCTTCACCTCCTTCACATTAAGCATTGCAGTACTCGTCCTCCTTGGGCTTTGGGCAAGGGGGAGATGGAAATAGCAAAGGGATATCATGTCTTTGTCCTCATCTTTAGGGCTATGGTCTTTGGGATATCAACCTTCATACGTCTGAAGTGGAAAGATTTTGTTCCAGATTTTGTTTGTTTTGTTTAGAGAATTACCTTGCTTCTTCAATCGGGGGGGAAGGGGGGGGTTCTGAAACACAGCACTTTTCTCTACTAGGCAGCCCAAATACATCGGGGATAGAGAACGACGCTCTGACTGAGGATGGTGAGATTGGCTGTCCTTGAGTAAAGCAACTGGGGCTAGGGCTGGCAATAATTTAGCATTATAATGTATGTACTATATACTGTATAGTACTGGTAAATCCTCATATTAAGATATTGAATATATAATATATAACTAAGCAGGGGGTTGCAAATAATTACTTTCTCAATAAATTAAGCTCCTAAATCCCAAAGCGACATATTCAAATTGCTTCTTTTGTTCAACCAGCTGTATAAAACTCTTATTTTTATAGAAGAAAAGAAAACCATCCAAATTTCACATTTGAAGGAATATGGGGCGTTATTATTTAAAAATGAATGAACAATTAATCCTGCTGTGGTGCCTAGCGACGGGAACGTTTTCTTCAGAAGGGCCACTGCTAATCAATAGACCAATATTCTGTGTGACAGATAATAAAGAGGAGAGGTGGCCCCGCCCACCCTAATGTCAGCTGAGACGCCACGCTGACACACACTGCTGCCAAGCCGGCAACCAAGCTGTCTGCCCTTCAAATGCACCAAAAAATGAATACTAAGCGAAGGTAGCATTTTGTGTCCAGGCTTGTGTGCTGCTAGCTGTCATTTAGCATTAGCTCTCCGGCATACAAATGTTAGCTTTGCACATTTGGACTAAGCTTTACCCTGGACAGCCGCTGACATTTAGTCTTTGCCAGCGCATATTTGCAGTGGCCGGTTCATTTGAGGAACAGATGAGATTCATTTCAGGTGAACTATTATTCCTCTGAACGTTCCAGCCCAGAGGTAAGGGTCCACAAACATTCGTCATCACTTATGTCTACAGATGCAAAGAAATGTACCCAGTTAATGCAGAGTAAAATGAGCAGAGTTATGAAGAAGAGGAAGCAGATCCACATGTCTGGCTTCCTTTCTACATGACACAAAACACTTCTCGACCCTTGGAGAAAAACTTTTAACACACAAACTGAGGCAGAATAACTCACATGCAGAATCCAGGGAAGCACACAGAGCAACGACGGGACGTCTTCGGCAGCGGGAGAGCCAGCGAGAGAGGGAGAGAGGTGCACGGATGCAAGGGGA